TTTAAAATTTCTTTCTCTAGTAGTTTAATTTATTGTCCAAGTACTTAGCTTTTATCAGTCACATAAAAAAAGTACTCTTAGTTGAAATACAACTTTTTTATTTTAATTTTTATGTACATTATTTTGAATACCTAATACCATATTGCTCGACTTTAGCAGTAAATTTAAAACAGTTATGTTAACATTTAAATATGGTGTGGGCTACCAAAATTCTGTTTAATTAAGGACCTTTTTGTTTTTTTAACTTAAATTTAATCTAATAGATATATTTGATATTGCTAAATGTATTAAAATTGTAGGTTAAATAAAATTATCAATTTTGTATTTAAATATTAACAATTAATTTATAATAATAGACCAGTTATATAAATTTGATGTTTAATACATATTAAATCGTTTGATAACTAGACTAGTTACACTATTGGAGCAAGAACCCAATTCTAAAATTTAATTTTTACTTTTTAAACAACTCATTAAATACATAGGTTTGTTATAGCTACATGTTACTTAATTATTTTTATAAGTTAACTGAAATGAAATGTATATTTTAAGGTCGATGAAGTCGATAAACTATACATAGTATTATGATTATACATCTGTTACTTGGCGCTGAAGGGCCAATGTCAGAAACAACAAAAATTTTTTTTTTCAATTTTCATAATATTGCAGAAAAATTATGAATGCTGTCAGCATAGTCCGAATTTCTTTTGAAAGAAGAACTTACCTTCTTTTTTTAAGAAACTGAAACCATACTGACAGTTTAATTATTTTTTTGCTAGGGTCATTTAAAAAATGAAAAAAAATTCTGTTTTTGACATTGCGCCAACCTACATAAATACATAATGAAGTTTTCAACTTAAGTTAGTATATATATTTTGACGTTAATTTTGAACTTATAATATATTAACTGTTAAATTTTAATAACCATATTACTAACGAGATTTCATTAACTTGTACACCTTCGAATAAAACAAGTTCAATAATATGATTTCGTTTTAATAATATTATTATTTTACACTTTGATTTTTCTAGTCCTAGTCTATTCAGATATAAAAAATATAATAAATTCGAAGTGATACTCATAACCATATATATCTTAACAAATATTTTTTGAAAATATAATTTACAATACATATTGACTTCTTCAGCTTTCACTCAATTTTTTCCAAATAATCCATATCTATTTACTCCAGATCATATTTCAATAAATAAAAGTAATGAACACATTATTTAATAAATGACTTAAATAGTTTTAATTATATTCAAAGTATGTATTAAAGATTTTTTATTGAGTTTTTTTATTATTATTTACAATTATTTAGGACTAGAAATACATAAGGAATGTTCAAATAATATAATAAGATATAATATAGGAATGTTTTCTATAATAGAATTATTAATTATTATTTATATAAATAATTTATAGATTAGTATAATATGAAAAAAAATTATTTATATATTCATGAATTATGTACAGTTTAGGATCAGGAAGTTTCCTTCTCCTTTCTTTTACTTCTAAAAATTAGACAACTACAGGTCTAGGGTCAAACAGTGCTATTCCTACTCCATTGAGAGTATCCATTCATCTTTAAGTTAATAGCTTCTCTTAAACAATTACAATACATATTACTTTTCAATTTTGTATGTATAAAGACAGATCTTTTTGATACAGTGCTCTGAGAACAAGCGCTTTCAAAGAAATAGCGTCAACTGTGATTTTCTTGAAAAGCTTTATGCTAGTCATTAAAATCCTGAATTTCTGACTGACTTTTGGAAGTTTTTCTATTTGCCTTAATACATCATAAGAAAAGTGAGATATCTATGTTCACCACTATCTTCCCATTGACAAAAGGATCCACGAACAGTGTCTTTTACCATGTTTGATGTCTCAGTATTTTCAATAACTGATCTTCTATGTATTTTTTATACAAGCTAGGTTTTTTTCAAACAGCCGATGATAAATTTTATGTTTAGCATTATGATATTCAGCTAATCGTACTTCAAAGTAAGCTAAAAATCTAAAAACAGAAAATCCTTCTTGACTGCAAATTTTATGAAATGCTTTATATCGTACAGCAGAACCTCAATAAAAAGTAGTAAAAGCTTTCAAATTATATTCAAATGATTAAATTTGATACTTCCATGACACTCGCCTCTAGATCAGATCTGATCAAATCTGATCTATGAGAGATGTAACAAAAACATAAATAGTCTTTTTTAAATACTACTTCATACGAAACTATAATACACTTTTTTGAGTATTTCCTTTTCCTTTTCAGTAGTTACACCAGTTAATTTTTCTTTTAATATAAAATTGTTTTTTTAATATTGTAGTACACTTCAAAAGCTTTAATTTGATGTAGATTATATATTATCAGATATTCCAGAACATTTTTCAAAATTTATATTAATATTATACCATTATATTAATAGTAGGGAGTCAAAAATAATTTAAAATTTTCGTTCTTATGGTTTTGGGTTTAACAATGTTTTGATATTTTATTGTGATTTAGCTTTTATATCGAATTTCAGATGAAAGTTTAAATTTTAATGTAAGACTCAATGAGAATCATCGATAGGCAATCATATAAACTATATTATTACTATATATCCTAATAATTACTATCATTAGGATCAGCGCAGTTACATGAACCCAGCAACTCGGCACAATGTCAAGACCTCGCCTCTTATTATTGTTTTAACTTTAATTTTATGTTATTAACTGGACTTTCAAAATTTATCATGTTTTAGAATTTTTAACTAATAAATTATTAGTTAAAATTAACACTTTAAGTCACGGAAAAGGCCGACCAAAACAAGACTCCATAATGTAATAGATTATCAGTAATTTTTTTTTTCGCCAAAACTTTTTGAGTGTCTTAACTGTTAAAATTATATTCAACTTGGGACATAATTTCTAAGTTTGTTCAATTGTTTAACTAACAACTGTATTAAATGTGATTCAATTTTTATTTAGTTTAGTTTAACTAAACTTAGTTGAAAATATTAGTAACTTAATTTGGCTTTGATGTTGTTTTTTATTTCCGATTGTGTAGTTTTATTACAATTAATTGAGCAATTATGTTAAAAATGATGATTCAATTAGGAAGAAATTTTTTTACTAAGTTTTTAGTCTTTATTTTTTAGTATCCCCAGAAGAAGAATAATGACATTAAACAGGTCGAGCCTCGTTTAAAAGTAGGCGCGAACGAAAGAATAATACATCTTGTGATTATTGCAATAGTTGAAAATTTTAGGTAAGAAAATTTGTTTTACAACTAAGACAGTTTTTTTGTAAATTTGTACCCCAAAATATCGATGGTCCAATATTTTTCTATCCAAAGTTAATATAAATTTTTACCACCATTTTGAACGAGACAAAAGAACTTTACCAGCATAAAAGTAAATTAAATGTTTTTTTTTAAGTATTTCGTACATTGTTACTATACCTATGCAGAAATTCGGATTAATGCCAATGAATCAGGTTGTTGGACGAATGCCAATCGATGAATTGGTAAAGAGCCAATTTCAAAGAGGAGATTTTTTTCACTACTCGTTCCAATTCTCTTTCTTCATTCTAAAAATTTTTCAATATAAAGTACACAAGCGTGTCAAGATCATTTTCGCAGGACGTGTCCAAGGGGCTCAACGGAAAAGAGGGGCTTAGTCCTTTATCTCCCCTTTCCACCGACAATATATACTTATTTTTATTAAATTAATTGTTTTAATAGGAGGAATACATTTACCCCTCAGCTTTTACTTTGTTTTAATTGTCTATATATACACATATCTAGTAGACAAAATAATTACTTTAATATTGCCTTAAGGGTTGTTAAAAAATATGTTAGAAACGTCTCTAAGACCAATGTAAGTTGGTGAAATGTTTAAGCTTTTAAATACTGCATATTTAAAATGTAACAACTCTGGTTGGGACAATAAAAAAACTACTTGTAGACACATCTATGATAATAAATATATTAACATTTATGTGGGTTTCAGAATTAAAATCTTATTAAAATTTCATTGTATACAATTTAAAAAAATATATTAAACTAAAGACATACAAATATGTTTTTTAGCATTCAGATTAAATATTGGTGGTACAGATTTATATTTAAATACGGTTTTTCTAAAATATAATATTCCTTCTGTTGCTAACCGGCGCCTTATGGCTGATATCTGTTAGATTCATGGCTTAATCAATAAAACTATAGAATGTCCTGAAATATTGAATACTATTCCATTATATGTTCCTACTCTTATCTTCCGTAATAGTTCAATATTCTACATTCCTTTGAACAAGGAAATTATAGTAATTTTTACCGTATGCTAATGAATTGCAATTTAGTTAGCAATAAATTAGATTTTTTTCATGACTCTTTAACCAGGGTGAAATTCTTTCTTAAAACGTATAATTAATTTATATTTATACATATATATATATATATATTGATTATTTATTTACATATTTTCTATTATTATTATTATTACTATTTTATATATTAGTGTCTAAGTGCTATTCTTTTATATAAATTACTTTATATCTGTACTAATTTCCTTATAGGCGTTTACTTAGATAAATTAAGAACATTATATAATATTAGAAATATATCGGATCATTAACCAATTTCTTAATATAAATTTAATATCCAGATGTACAGAATTGACCATCATTCTATAACAGTCGTAAATAGTTTAATTTATAAATAGTATTTACGCAGATTAAAAAAAAAAGTAACTTGAATTAAACTCCTTTAACTTTTATCAAAAAGGGTTGATTACCTCTTTCATAAGTACTTGAGAGTTCTTGTGTTCTAATGTTATAATTGATTCCAATGAAGTTTTGCAAACAGATTCATATCAATTTAAAATTTTGTAAATGAGATTACTGAAACCCATTCATAGACACATTGAAATTAAGGATTTTATAATGTTTCAACAATTTTTCATTTTTAACTAATTATAAATCATAATCTAATTTAAAAATATACATATTTAAGTATGTTATTTCATATTGAATATTTTATTTTATTGTAGACACTTATAAATAATATATATATATATTTTTACAAGGATATTAAAATTCACTACCTTTCAAACATATTTACTTACAAAACTAATAATCTTTATAAATACTAAAAATGGATACTTTATAATATGTTACATTTGTATATAATTAGTTTACAATAAAGTAATAAGAAAACTATATCTTTTTGATCGCACATATAACAAAAACATTTTTTCTTCTTATATAAAATTATAAAACAAAAAATATTGTATAATAATTAAAATAAAACATTATTTGATTGAAGTATTATCATTTAATTTATAAATCTGGTAATTCACCAGCATCTGTCACATTATTAGGCTGCTTATGAACCATACAAGATCGAGCAACAGATTCAAAGAGCCTAAACAAAAATAAAAATATTGCATGATGATTATAATTGATAAAACATATAATACAATTTTTTATTAGGTATTTTAATTGCTTTTTGTTTAAAAAATGTATGAATTACATAACCTTTATAACACACATAACAACAAATTACATAAATAGTACACTCCACTAGTGAAATAATAAAAGCAGCAACAAAAAATGTATTATAAACTATAAAATATTAAACTTACTTCTCAATTTCTGGTGCACAATGAACAAATTCGTGGTGCCAAAATTTATATGCTGGATTCTTAATTAATTCAATAAATGTGATCAACAGACCCCACGGATGTGGTCTATTGACAATCAATCTTTCCAATAATACCCTATATTGATGGAATAAAATTAAAATTAACAATTTATTATTAAAAAAAAAATATATATATATATATATACAGATGTCTAGGTTTTGGCAACTTATATAACTTTTGATCCATCAAATATAATGTATTAATTTTTTTTAAAATAATTTTTATAGTTTTGGACTATGCTAAAAATAAATTTTTCTCAAATAAGAAAAAAAAATATTTAATTTTTTTTTTATTACTTCAACATTTTTAAATAACCTTATGTTAGCTCTTTTCTTATGAATAATTTTGATGGATCAATAAAAATTTTAGAATAAGTATATATTGAGTAACAAGCATTTTAGTATATAAACTGGGCATGTATTACAGATGGGGTGTACATACTCCAGTACAGGCTGACCCATCCACACTGTATCATATCTATTCTACATATTAGAATGTTTGTTGTTCAAAATTGTGAAAAATTATTTTTAAAAAAAACCCAGCACAGGGGGGTCGCGGCACAGTGGTGACGTGGCATAGTTGGATCAAGTATAATGATATCTGACAGTGATTAAAATCACTATCAAAAATAAACGCTTCGATGCAAATCTTTAGATTGTGTTTAATTTAAAAAAAATTGGTGTATTATTCCAAAAGCTACATGATCTGCTAGTTCCTTATTAATATCCTGATTAAGATAAAGTATCTCAAATGAAAAAAGGATTATAAAAAAATATTATTTTTCATAAAAAAATTGTGTTGATCCATACACTTTTCAATAAGTTATAGCATTATAAAGTTAAAAAGATAAAAAATAAAATCGAGAATTTTCACACGAAAATAGCATTTGGTAGCCATTTTTGCCGTGAAGACAAGTCTAGAGGTCAAATTTTTTTTTTCCATAATAAAGTACATTACATACATACAAATCTTTAATATAAGATACATAAAGAAATGTCAGACCTTCCGGAACACTTTCAAAAGTTAAGTGTAAAAGTAAATTTTTTGTGAAAAAGTTGTCATTTTAAATCCTTCCCTGTGGGCAGGTTAAGTGTCAGATTTACAAAAAATATATATCAAATGATAGATAAAGATATCAAGCATGTATAAAAAAAAATTATAATTATATGTTCATTTTTGAAAAAGTTACGGCAGTTTTTAGTAAAAAAAATTGAAAAAATTTCGAAAATTAGCGATTTTTAAATTTGTAATTTTTTTGGAGGTTCCCCCATTTACGGGGAACGAGGGAAATTTTTTCAATTTTTGAGGGTAATATATTCAACTAGATACAATTTGTGATCTTTTGACGTATCGTTGAAAGAAATCCGTTCGGTGAGAGCTGAGTAAAAGTGGTAACAGACACAAATAAAAAAAAAACACATCATAGTAAAACCTTCGGAGCTAAAAAGTAACACAAAATATTTGTTGACCGAAAAGTTATTAAAGATGACAAAATGGATGGCATACTATGTATATTAAGTTTAATAAGATACAAATTTTAATAGACAGTATGTTACAGTTGTGTTTTTTGAAATACTCAAAAAGTATTGTGTCAAGTTATAATTAAAATCTATTAATATAAAAATATTTACATTTGAATATATTACAAATACTACTTAACTACTTATTAACGCTTATTGTAGTAAATAAAAATTTTACCTTGTTATTTGTTCTTGAATAGCTTCACTGTTAGCTTCAGCAAACAGGTATAAGAGAGTACAACTAAAATAATGAGTATGGCTATTAGGGAAACGCAATTGGTTTGCAATAGCATTTAAAAACAAATAACGACCTGAAAAAAATAGTACACATAAATTAAATAATTAAAAATAATATGATAATAAGAGAAATTATTAAGTTGAAAGTTTTAATTTTTTATCATTTAACAATAAAAATATCAATAAATAATCCTTTCTTAAAATTAACTTTTATGTTAAAATATAATACATACAACTGAATGTATTTAATAAAATAATACATAATTCTTAGACATTAATTTTTTGTAATAATAGTTTAATCCTAACTGGTTAAGAATTAATTGAGTAAAAATAACAAAAATGTGGAGACCTATTAACTGTTAAAAATAGAATAAAACACTTAAAAAATTATATATTCTTTACCTTCTGTATCAAGATCTACTGACAAGTTTTGAAATATATCCATATGTGCTGAATGAGCAATTGTTGAAGTGTTGGGGACTAAACCCTTACTTCTTATATGTTGGATGGCTTGTGTACCAACATACAAAACAATAGCATTTAATAGAGATAAGTTGTAGCGCATACCAGGCTCGCAGCAACTTTGTTGCATAGTAGTACGTATCTCAGACAAAAATGTAACTGGAGCACGAGTTTTCAAGTATAAATCTAAATCCTAAAAAAAAGTTAAAATAACAAAATTGAACTCTCATTAAAATCTTTTATTTCAAGAATATTTAAAAAAACCTTACTTTTTTAAAGCTTGAAGGCTGAATGTAACATTGAAAATCTGGGCTAATTTTTGGTGACAGTGATATTTCTTGTAAGACGTCCACTTTCAAATTTGGTGTAAATGGATCTGGTAAACGCATGTTACGTGGAAATGCTGATAATATTAGATTTCTCATCTAGTAAAATATTAGTAAATTCAAAATCTATTTTCAAGTTAAACACAAAGTAGTCTGTTTATCATAAACCACTCAATTAGTTGTAAAATAAATAAAATATCAAAAAAAAATGTTTTGTTTTGCATATATTTAATAACGGGTTAATAACAAATTTTAGACAAGTACTTCAGAATTGATGGAAATGTTTACGGATGTATTCACATTTTCAGTTATTAGCTCATATTGATCGAAGTTGCAGAGCCCATATTCATCAAGTGATAGTTTGTAACTATACTATTTTTATATCAGTTGATAACAGATAACGTCGATATTGTTTATCTGTTATTGTTTTTGTTGTGTTGTTAACAACTCAGTCAGTTTGATATTTACATCCGGTTTTTGTTGTTTACTAAATTCTTGGCATTAAGTACTTCATTTTCTACACAGACAATTTTCTGTTATGTTTTTTCACATATTACGTTATTTTCTTTGTTGTTTTTTTATTTTACTTTTGCCTGGTGTATGATAGGTAACCAAGTCTTGCTAATAGTCCAATCATCTACTCTGTTGTAATTTTCTAGACATTTTTTTATTCTATTGCTTCTTTGTTCAGTGTTTTGATTTTGTCAAATTGAATCTCTTGTCCACTGTTTTTGGAGTGTTCTATTATTCTTGTTGCAATAGCTCTTACTGTTTGTCCAATGTATGATTTACCAGATAAACAAAGTAATTAATAGACTCCGGGTGTTTGCAATTCTGACAGTTTCTCTTTCAAATTTCGGAGTATTTGATCCTATAACTGTGTTCATTTTAAAAACGTTTTTTATTTTAAATTTATTTGCGATTTTTGAAATGCGGTCGGTAATTCCTAAAATGTACGCCAGTATTAGTGCTCCTTTCTTGTCATCGTCTTTATTTTCATTATCATTGTTTTATTTTTCGTTTTCCTAAGTGCCTAATTTATGTTTTTGATTGTATATCCATTATTTTGTAGTGCTTGCTGTAAATATACTTTTTCATCTTTCACATGTTCTCCGTCAGCTATTCTAATAACTCTTGTTGTTACGTATGTAATAACCCTATATTTGTGAGACGCAGTGGTGTGAATCGGCATGTAAATATCTGTACACTCCCGTGCCCAATTTTCCATTATGCTGTTTTTTACTAGAACATCCAAGAACGGCAATTATACTTTTTTCTTGGTTTCTATTGTAAACTGTATGTTGACGTATATACTGTTTAAATGTTGTAAGAAAGATTTTAGTTGATCAACTCTGTGTTCCCATAAAACAAATGTGTCGTAGCATTTGGGCTTTTGAGTATATGTGCTCATTGCTTTTTATTCAAACCATTTCATGAATATATTAGCAAATACTGTTGCTAGCCTTGATCCCATGGCCATTACATCAGTTAGTTCAAAGATAGTGTCTTGATATGTGAAAACTGTTACCTTAGTGCATATTTCCAGTAGCCCTTCGAGTTTTTCATTTAGTCACTTTTTTTCTTTCATAATGATCAGTGTGCCTTTTACTGGTACTATTGTAAATAAGGAGACAACATCGAAACTGACAAGAATGTCTCCGTTTTTCCAGTATTAGCTTTCAATATTCTTGCTAAGTGTCCTTCCAAATTATATGTCTGTGAGTTTATGACACTGACAATAGGTTTGAGTGAAACATCATTCATATGTATTTTTGGGACTCCTTATATTATTAGTAATCTTAGCACTGTAACTTAATAGTAATTGTTCTTTTTCATCTAGTATTTCTTTTTTTGTTTCACCGTTAACTAGTTTGATTATTCGTTTCAATGGATTTCTTTTTACAATTTTATATGACTTTTTCCAGTAATTTCTTCATTTTGATATTGTAGTCTGTAGTGTTCATGATCACTGTAGCATTCCCTTTGTCTGCTATTAATATTAGGATGTTGTTGTCGTTAAGTAAAATTTTTAAGTGCAGTTAATTCATCCTTGTTATAATTTGGTTTAGGTAAGACTGCTTTTCTTAGAATTTTGAAACTTTTTTGTCTGATGATTTCTTTTTCAAGGACTTCTAATTGGTACAGCGTGTTTTCTATACTGCTGCTTATAATGTTTTTTGTTGACATTTTTCTTGAGACCAAATAAAAATGAAATTCTTTTTTTTCAGAAAGTTTAATTCATGATTCATCAATTTTTTTTCAGTTAAATTAGACTGCAGTTTTATTAAGGATTATATAAGTTAGTTTTTTATTTTTTTGGATTTTATCTCCAAGTTTTGACACATTCATAAGTACTTCAAAAGTTATGACAATTTAAAAATATAGACTGAGTAACCTACATATAAAAATGATAATTATTTTTGAAGCAACAGTCAATAAATTGTTATTTTCCAGTCATTTTCTTAATTAGAACTCTATAAGTTACAAAGGATGATAATAATAAATAATAAAAAGTAATTTATAACTGATGAATAATAAATATATGCAACTAAAAAAAAAAAGAAATTTTTTTTTCAATATTGTACTTATTTTGCAAGTAAATGAGTGATTTATGATAAATGGATCACTCAATATATAAGTACAGGTAAGTGTCACAAATAAAATATTTTTCATAATTTTAAAAAAAATTTTATAGTTACAGCATAAAATAGTAATCATTGATTAAATACAAATAGATAGATGATACAATAAGAAATTTAGGCAATGCTCTTTTTGGAACAAAGCTATAAGTATCTTTTAGATAGCATTAGTATTGAGTTGTTGGAAAAATTATAAACCTATCAAAATTGACGATACAAACACTAATTAATTTTATTTGGGGTTCAAAAAAATGTTGCAGAAATTTCCTATCAGACAGTTTATCTATTTGTAATTAATTAATGTAATAATTTAATAATTACTATATTATAGTACTTATTATGCATTTATGTTTTTTGCACTATGCATTATATTTAATTAGTTTATGTGAATAAATCTTAAATAAAAAACCTTTTGATAAATTTAATTTATAGTAATAACTTGAGAATTGTTTTTATTAATTAATGTCACTTTCTCATACACAAAAGTATGCTATAATTAGCAATCAAACCTGAATGCAATTGGGTGGAATAACATCACAAAATCCATAATGGAATTCACATAAAAATTCTGGGAAATCATGTAGTAGTATAAGTAGTACTCTTAGTGTTCCTTTATAAAGTAATTGTACAGGTTTGGCAAGTTCAGCATTTCTTAGAAAAGGTGCTAGGTATTTAAATAGATCAATGAGAAGCTGAGCATAGAAATTCCAACCCTGAACATCAGTAACTGGTGTTTGATCATAAGCACGTTGCCGCTAAAAATTTTTATGAATTGAATATAATATTAGTTTTTAATATTTTAAAAAATTATTTTGTAAAATAATAGTAATACATTATAAATATATATTTGAAATAAAGATTTTTAACTGCAATAATTATCTTTATTATAACACTTACTTTTTGCTGTGGAGTTAATCCTAAAAGACGACCTATAAAAATACGATGAGATATTAACTCCAACCAAGCATATGCAAAACCAGGAACTTTTCTTGGTCTAAGCAAGTGAAAAGTGTGGCAAAAGGCAGCTAATATCTATCAAAATATTAAAATATAAAACACAATCAAATTATTGTCTCTCATTTATTATCTTACTGGATAATTTATTGATTCAAGTACAGGATCAGGAGCATTTAAATCAAGAAATAAGGTTATTAATATTCTATGATATGGTAGTTGATGAAAGTCAGTGGCTTGTACATCGTGGTCTTGAAGTAAAACCCCAACAACAATACCAAGAACCTTTAAACATAAAATTTTATTAATAATTTGGTGATGGAACTAAAAATTATTTATTTAATTACTTTATTAAGTAGATTAGTTTTGGTAGTTATTGCATTTGCATCACCAGAATGTTTAACTAACAATACTATTAATTTTACATAGGCATCAATTGTATGGAATAGTTTTGCTCTTACAGTAGATGGAGATTGTGTCTGATCTGGTATTTGACGATAACACAACTCAACCATCATTTGTGTGCTGAGTCTGAAGAAACGAGTTATGATGTCATCAGATTTCAAAATTCCTTGAACATTCATCTAAAAATACAAATAATACTTTTAGAATAATAATTTTTCATTTATAACAATAATTAAAATATTATTAACTAACTTGATGTATATAAGCACTAAATGTTTTTCCAGGATCTCTGTTTGGAGCAGCACTATAGATAGTTAACCACTCTTTTAAAAGATATTCAGTTTTTTCTAAAAGACCAGGTGGATCATCAAAGTCTCTTCCCTTTAATAATATAAAATATAAGTTTTTTTTTTTAACGATAATCATTCAGTAGTATTAAATTAATTAAATAATAATTAACAGTAATCATAAAACACTTCGAAAAAAAGAATTCTTACTTGTAACATTCCATGTTGGATATGAGCAGAAGAATTACTGTTACTACTTGTCATTCTTTCTACTGTATTATTTTCTGTCTGGGAAGGCCTTATTACTTCAATAATTGCTGTTAGTCTTTTTATTCAATTAAAGAAATAATTACAAATTAATCAAATTATAGTGATTATTATAAAAAAAAAATGTTTAATTACCCATCAGGAACAGGACGACCACTGAGTATAATTGTGTTTAAAGCATCAATGGTAGCTTGTAAGTGATGTTCAGTAATAGGAGAATTAGATCTATTGTCAATTAGATAATTTTGCAAAAATTGTTTAACATAGGCCATAGCTACGTAATTAGTTCCACTATCCATAGACATAGCTAAATGCATATCATACATACTAATATTTACCATACCAGCACGGATTAAAACATCAATAGCATCTAAATTAAATCGCAATTCATCTCTTGATTCCATAATAGCTCTAGAAAAAAATTATGTTAATGTAAAGAACTATAATAATAGATATAAATAAAAACAAACTTAGTTAACGTTTTGTTTGTCCATTGTAGATTGTATGCACGAGGATCTTGGAAAGCTCTGAATATATTTAAATGTAGATCACGATATCTAATACTCATATCTAAATCTTGATTAGCAGAAGGGCTTAATCCATCCAAATAACTTTCTACTACCTATAAAAAAAATATTATTTCTTTCAAAAGTTTACAATTTATGAAAACTTAATTTTTACATTGTACTAATTAAATTTTTCTTACTTTATTTACAACATTAGCAGCTGTAACAACATCACGACATCTTCTCAGTGTTATTAATGCTTCTAAAACACCATGCAAATTTGCTGGTTGAGTAGTATTTGACATAATTCTTTGGTTAGTCATATATAATTGTAAGAGTACTTCAACTTCAGTAATAAGTTTTTCATAAACTACAGCCATCTCATCTGGAGGTATTCCCTAAATAATAATAACAATAAAAATATTTTAGTAAAAGTTAGTAAAACTTTGTTTTAATACTAACAGATTTAGGCATAAACATCGAAACAGCTTCCCTATCCAATTGTTGAAAACCTGGGATGTTTCTAGCAAATTCTTCATAAACACCTATCATTTGTGGTGGTGGTAAACCAATTTTATTACGCAACGTATCAGGTAAGAACTCAGCTTGACCACTCACAACAATTTGATCACAATAACGACGACCTTCCATTCTAGATAAACTACGTCTTTCATATTCCTATAATACAAGTTATAAAAATATAACTTTATTTAGTCATCAAAAATTTTTTTAATTAATTTACATTTTTAAGATATTTATCAATTTCAATAACTGCCTTTTCAGTAGCAGTTTTTTGAACAAAAGCACAAGCTAATTCTAAATTATCATTTGCACATATGGTACATGCTTGGTCAATCATTTCTTTTTGAGATTGAGTAGGTGTCTAAAATAAAAATATATACCAGTATTATACATTTAATAAATGTAAAAGATATAACTGGCAACTCATAACTTTTGCTACAATTATAATTTTGGTGTATGTATTTTTTTAAACAATTTTTATATGTTAAAAGAATATTATATAATATGTTTTTAAAGAAGTTTAAAAAATTATATTAAAATGATAATTGTATCAAAAGTTAGAAGAGTTATTAGTTAGATCTGTTCCACTCTATATATTTAACTGAATTATTAAATATTAACTTAAAATAGTACTTACAATCAATACACTTAAAAAGTGCTGCTTCAAGTTTGAAGTCAATGTTTGAATAACCTGTTCACGACATGTTATCATTGCTAAACCAGAAGTTAAATTTCTAACCATACAATGAGCTGCTTTCCGTAAATGTGATTCATCTGGATCCATACCAAAGTCCTAGTAAAGTAAAATATTAAGTAAATACTATATTTATTAAGTTTAATAAACTTTAACTAATTATACAATTATTACATAATTTATTTAAGTTTTAAAGTACTGTCTAGTACAATAAATAACTATTAACTGAGGATAAATATAAATAACATAAACTTAAATAAATAAAAATTTTTATTGTTATTTGAAGGTTATGTTATTTAAATTTTGAGATTTGAAAATGTCAATGCATAATTATTGAATAATAAGCATTAAATAATATTAATAATAATTTTCAGCATAAATTCTAAAAAATTAGACGTTTCAAATTTACTTTTTTGACAGTATGTTCAGTAGTAATTACTGCAATTTTAACAGATCTCTCTACAACAGGATTAATCCACTCTTGAATTGATCTTTCAATAGCTGCCCGAACATAAGTCTTTAATGTTGGTTGATTTACAAATAATGGTATCTATAAAATAAATATAAAACTCTTTAAGTACCATTTAAATTTGTACAATTCAGTGAATTTATTAACATACTTGAGGATTTATAACTATCATGGACATAATCTGTGAAGAATTGGCTGTATTGAATGTTACATAATTAAATTTAGGTTCAACCAATGGTAAAGTAGGCGACATTCCTGGTGTGCCACTAATTCCCATACTTCCAGTTGATGTTAAAGTTGTGACTCCTCCAGCAGCTACAACATGACCAACTAATTCATCATTGAATCTAGTGTTGGTTGTCACAGACTGAACAGTTGAAGTTATGTTTGATTGCTGAGCTTGAGAAGACACTATAGCTATAAACAGAATAATATGTACTTAGATTTTTATGTATTAATTTTATTTTAATTACATAGTTATGATTTCTTTATTTTTTAGTTATTTGGTGAAATAAATTTAAGTAATAAGCTAAAATTACTTTGAAGAATAGGTGTTTGACGTTGAGGAGTTGGTGCCGAGACTTTAGGTTGTTCTGAAGCACATTGAGATTGTAATTGAGGTTTCATATTTTCTCCATTAGATAGTTGAGGTTCTAATTTTTTAGCAATTTCAGGATCTTTGAGAACATAACCAGGACTTAAATCCTAAAATAATATGAAAATTAATATATATTGTACTTAAATATAAATATTTTATACTAACTTTAAGTTCGATATTTAAAGCTTTGCAAAGCACTTCAACTTCAAACTTCAATGTTAATTTTAAATCAGGTTCTTGATGAAGTTCAGCCAAACAGTTCATGACTGACATTGTCCATGGATTTCTTGGTTTAAACACCTAAATAAAATTACAATATATTATAAAATGATAAACATAGCCTCATTGAATAATTTACTTACTTTACTTTTAGCACATGACTCTAGTATTTTAGCAATAAATGGAACTGTAAACAATAACTCTTGATGACCTTTATTATAAGCTTCAACAAGTAACATTTTAAGATCAATATCATCAAGTAATATTGGTTTATTTTTAGCTAAGGTAATCATTCCTAACCAATGACCCAAATTTTTCAATAGAGATCGATCAGAGAAATTAGCCATTCCTTTATCACTTCTTAATAAAACCTAACAAAAAATTAATATGATGATAAATAATTATTTAAAAATGATTTTACCAATAATTTGTTGATAACTCACTCTTATATTCCTGAATGTCTCTAATATAATCAAGGAGTTTAAAACTTCATTGCCTAAACAGTCTAAGAAATTTGAGTATAATGTATGGAAATTTAATTCAATACTAACACGCTTCATGACTAAATACTGTGATAGCCAAGGCAAGTAATCATTGGTTATAATTTCTCTTATTTCATCACACTATAAAACAAATATAATAAACAAAAAATTATTGCTAATATTAAATAATTGATATTGAACAATATTATTGAGTGGACTATTTTTTAAAAATTTATTAAAGACAGAAATATAAAATATTTAGTTATAGTTAATTTACACTAGCTCATAAATAAATTCCTTTTCATTAAATAATATATAAATAACATCATTCCTTCTTCCAACAGCTAGTGTTACTTTAAAACAAAATATATATTCAATGTTTTATGTTGATTTTAGAGCAAAAATATTAATTACAAAATAAAATTATACAATTAATTAAAATTTACTTTAGTTTGTAGATTAACTTGACTTAAGTTATTGAAGATGAATGCTATTTTATCTTGAACATTTTCTGGTGGAACAATTAATTTTTCATCTTTCTCTGTTGCAACCAACAATGTGTCAATGTTTGTAGTATTTGCAATTGAAGGCTATAAATTACCAACACATTTCTTTTTAAATTATTTTTATTATTTTGAATTTAAAATTACCCTGGATGGTAAAACAGCATTTGTAGTAATGAGTTTAGTAGATGCAGATGAAACAGTTGTTGTTGTAGTTGTAGTAGTAATACTTTGAGCTTTAAAAGAATTGTGTGGATTAGGCATAAAAGAAGCTTGGGGTAATGAATTATTTGTTCCAACTATATCTATACTTCGAGATGATGGTGGTTCTTGAGAGTTTTTACCATATTCAACAAACTAAAAAAACATTGATAAATATTTATTTTATTTCAATAACTACTTAGATTTTATAAGTTTAATACCTCAATTAAATGCTGTGGAAATTGTTGAAAATGAGGAATAGTAGATATATGTGAACAATATTGATGATAATCCTTTAAACGATGTTTAAAACGATCTAATGCAGTTACACCAAAATTATACATTTTTGAATTAGGACTTTTTTTGAGGGCATCCAAAATAAAACGAAGTGCTAAGCCAAGAGCTTTGTAATTTCTGAAGAGATTAACAAATTAATCAATTGAGATTTAATATTTTTTAAATCTTATTATCAAATACATACGAAACAAGGCCATGCTCAATAATACCACCAAATAAATGAGCTGTTGTAATAAGTTCTTTTTCAGGATAAGCAGGGAAAAATCTATACTCTTCAAATAAATTCCTTAGCATGCAGCAAAACACTTCCTACACAAAACAATATAAAACATTTAATTATATATATAAATATAAATTTAAATGAATTTAAAAATGATTTACTCTTTCACGTTTAACAGGTGACTCTTGAAATCTTTTTAACATTTCAAGTACTTCATCAATAGATAAAGAATGATGTGGAGCTAAATTGTAAATACGCTGAAAATAACTATTAGCTTCATCTTCAATATCTTTCGGCACAGAAACTGGCATGTTACCATCAACAAATAGACTACTATCAACTAAAAAATAAACCAATTAATTAACAATTTAATTATTTTACAAGTTATTTTTTATTTTTCATTGACTCACTTAAATGATTTGCTTTACCAATAGCTGAAGGTGTAACTTGTTGCTGTGGCAAACGGCCTAACATATTAGATTGTCCAGATAATTGACTAGATACAGCTGGGCCAGGAGCATTAGTGGATGATGATGTCATAATAGAAAAGCCACTATGTCCAGAAGTATTACCAACTAAATTTCTAGATGGTGAACCAGAAGTTTGAACTAACTGTCCTAATGATCCTAAAAATAAGTTATGTATTAAGTTTCATGTTTTCATACAGCAACTTCAATTTGATCCAAACCCGGTAAAGTGAAAGTAGATGCTGATTGGGCTGAAGGATTCAGACCTAAACTTGCAAGACTTGTAGCAAGACCAGTTAATTGGTCTACTAATACTTGAGGTGAAGGTCCTTCTATCGGACGGTGATGTTGTGATGTACGTAAAATGGCTGGAGGTGGAGCAGATGAGTTTAAACGAGTTGAAGCAACTTTTGAAATATACATGTTAGTACAATTAGTTACCATTAACATAATAGCTTCAGAAAGTTCCTGAGATATTGTTCTACAAAAAAGTGAATTAAGTTATTATTATATAATTAAAATCTAGTTGGATCGGGAAAAACTGCACTTCATCACCCCCTTACAGTTTTCAAAGGTGTTTAAAAATTTTGTTGAAAATTGTTTAAAAAAGATGTTAATTTTTAAACAATTTTACAAAAACGTATTTACATTCCAATGTAATATTTTTGTTTTCAATTAAATAAAAATCTGGCTGGAATTATTTAACCCCTTACAAATTTTATTAACTGAATTGAGTGTAATATTGTATTCTATAATCAAAACTTTGAAAACTCTTCTCATTATTATGATACTTTAGGAAAAAAAAAAAGACTATGACAGGTAGTTGGTTATTAAGTTTTACTTATATATTATAGATAAAGAAAATGAAAAGAAGCAGCCACAAGACTACAGCACCTTGCATTTAGATGTGTGAGGTATATCAATCAACTGTAGAAAAGTAACAATATAAGTTAATTTTTTTTTTTTTTTTTGTAGATTATATTTGTTTACAATATATACTCTATTATGATTAAAGACAAAAATAATTGAAATGAGCATTAATTTCAGTAAAAATCATACAAAAAGGGTGATGAGTTTATAGAAAAACATAAATTTTAAAAGCTTGAAACTTTTAAACAAACCGTTTCCAAAAAAATGTCAACATTTTTGAAGAGGATGGTAAAGTGCATTTAAGCCGTTAAATTGTAATTAAAAACAATAATAGTATTAAAGTATTAAAAAATATTAATAAACAAATTTTAATATTTAATTGACTATACAATGTTATCACTAGATAGAAGTTTATTTAAAAAAAATTAATTTACCCAATATTAATGTTTCTTAAGCAATTGAGCATAGTTAATATAGTTTCAGAAGATAATGGTGTGTACTTTGATAAGTTTTCATCTTTAACTGATAATCCAATCAATTGAGGACAACGCTTCTGTTAATAAAATAAATGTCATTAAACATTTCTGTTAGATAAAATCATTAAATAAAATAAAGTTCATCAAACACATCATTCGAGACAATGACTTTATAGTCAACATCTTCAAATGAAAAATAACTGGGAGGAAACCAAGGAGACGCCAAGGAAAAAATATTTTGAACATATCTTGGAACTCATGAACTGTGCGTCTGTTGTTTCACTGAAGAATTTGAAGTCAAACAGAAAAAAGTGACTTCAAGGGCAAGGCATTGATTTTAATAAATAACGATGATCATGATGATAATCATCATTATAGTACCTTTGAATACATGTATTTTTTATAACACAAAAGAGTATTAAATTTATATATACCTGTAAAAATTTAACACATGCAGTCATGAAACTTTCACCATGCTCCCGAATTTTATCTGAAAGCCATTTGTCCAATTTTAAATATTCACGTCGTGAAGCTAAACAAGCTAAATCTATGACAAAAGCAAACTGTTGAACACTTAACAATAATGACAGAGCCTAAAAAGTAAATAAAATAAATAAAAGTAAAATTTAAAATAATTTACTAATTTTAATGATTTATGCAACATACTTTTAAATCTTGAGCAATATCTAAAATTCTAGAGAGTTTTATGTGGTCATAATCACTACGAACATACCATTCACTCATTGCTTGAACTAAAGTATGCCTAAGGCCAATATTCTGAAATTTTATTGTTAATAATCAATTATTAAAATTATTTAATCAATAAATTAATATATGATTAGCTAAAATTCTTTCACACAATATTTAAACAAATATTGTTAAAACTAATTAATTTTTATTTATAGTTATTAAATTGATTGATCTATTATTTAAAAAATATATAAAGGACTATAAAATGAAAAACATGTATTTTCTTACATCAACTTTTTAAAATATACTTAAATGGGAAGATTAAATAAATAGGATTAGATTTAAAAAAGTAAAACTTTATACAAAAAACAAAGCATAAGAAGTGGAATCGGATATATAGCTTATCCTCATTAAATAGATTATAACTTAACATTGTGAATTTGATAATTATGTTAAAACTCTTTTACCTGATGATTCCAAGCGTGGTGCAAAATGACTGCAGCATTGCTATGATTTCCAAGAAATATAGGTATCAAACCACTTATCATTTCATGTCTGACCATACTTAAAGGGCCATTAGATTGTATAAGAGCTAGAGCTAATAAATCAGGACACTTTTGGGCAGGGAACTTCAAACACTCTTGTACTTGGTAACAAAAACCACGTTCTGCCAAGTAAAGCATTAAATCAACAAGTTCAATTGAACGCCTTAAAAAAACAATTTAATAGCTTAATTTAATTATGGCAAAAATTTATTTATTAAGTTATATTATTACCAGTTATTTATATCTTTGTTATCTGCTTCAGGAATAACTTTCAATAAATCAACTGATACTGAACGATAAGGGTAATCAGCAAAACAAAAAACATCAGAATTTTGAAGAATATGTTGCACTAAAGACATCTAGATAAAAATAAAACTTAACTTAGTAATATAACATTAGCCATTTGATTTCTCTTAAAATAATTATTTAGTTTCAAATATTTATCATTTATCAATTATTAAGTACTTTTTTTAATTCATCCCTTATTCTTTATAAAGAAGACAATTTTATTTTTATAATAATAATAATATACTTATTAAACTAGTTCATAAAAAAAAAAAACTAATTAAGAAAATGACTGGTCGTTGACAACTTTTGGACCAGTATTTCAGAAATTATTAACAATTTAAAGTAATAATTGAAAATGAGGACACAGATGATATTTTTATCACTAGAAATTTCTCGGCTTCCTCTTTCCGCTTAGGTATAAAAAGTTATTAACTAATGAAATACTGGTTAAAAAGTTGTTTTTAAACAGTTATTTTCTTAATTATATTATGTTTCAGTTTATAAGCTAGTTGACATCCCTATAATTGACAACCCAATCTATAAGACATAAGTGATAAAAATAAATATTTTACAACAGATTAATAAAAATACATATAAACTAAAAAAGACCAAAAAAAAATTCACAAAATAACCATCATTTTTAGAAAAATTGAGTAGTTAGTGTTGAAAGAATCGTTATGTATATATATTTGTATTTATAAAAATTTGTTTGATAATAATATTATTCTTTTATTATTCAAAAATAAATAATAAAAAATAAATTATCAAATAATATAAAATTTATATATTAATTACTTGAGATTCAGAGTTAGTCCAATGTCTGTAAATCATTTCAACAGGGAAATTTTCCATGTGATAACCTTGTCCTTTCAAACCTATTCGAATTGTAGAGAAAAGAAGGACTAGACCTTGCCTATCTTTTATCATAAATTCAGCATGATCTAGTTCTTTAATTACATCTAACCATAATAACGATGGGTTCTGAAAAATATTAAATCACATAAGTATTTGTCTGTACATTTATCAAAAATAATAGTCAATTATAAGTTGAAAGTAAATAATATTTTTTTTATAACTATAGAGAGTGATTTTTTTTATATAATAACCCACTCAATTACTCACAGAATAAATATAATTTTGAAAACATTTTTTGGTAACATAATTGTATCTCAAATTTTTTAGCTATGAAATACTTTTTAAGTATTAAATAACTCAATATGATTAAATATTTAATATAACTTCATCTGTTTATTAGATATAAACCTTTTAAATTTTTAATTTTTTAATTAAAATACATGTATAATAATAAAGAATTTTACCAATAGTTAGCTAATTGTTTTTTTTTATAAATAACTATGTACAGTTATACAGCATTTATAGTCAACTATGAATTTATCATCAAATATCCCTTCAGTTTTGCCTGTTGATATATTTATAAATGTTAACTCATAACATTGTGCCTTGTTAACTACCATAATTTAAGTATATCTATCAATAAATACATGTATGACAATAACACTGGTTTTTCTATTAAAGAAAAATCTAAAACATTTTATTAAATTCAAAATATGTGTTTTCATTTGAAAGTTATTACCCTTACAAAACATATAAGTATGGAAACATAAGGAATGAACTTAAAAAGTATTGCATAGGTAGTGATAATTCGATAACATTGGCCCACCCCAAGTAGTTGGGATTAAGGCGGGGAAAAAGAAGAAGTGATAATTCAAGAATATTATTAAACTAAAAGTAACAAAATGTTTAATTATTTTTATTCTGCAAATAATTAAGTAGGTTATGATAAGAAAATCATCCTGTATATTATTTTAGTAAATTTATTTATTTAATATTTAATATGGAAAAATTTAACACTATACATAATTCTTACCAAATCTTTTAGAGTATGTACAAAAACCTCAACATTCCAAGTATTTGATCCATTGCCATTAGCAATTTTATCAACATCATTATTGGAATTATCTCCAGACCAATATGGCAAAGTAACTTGAGTGTCTAATCCAGTATGGGTGCGTGTCATCATTGATATCACCTTAGCAACTGACTGTGGGCCAAAAATTATAGATGATGAATTTCCACCAGTTATTGATAGTAAATGCCTACGACATTCTTCTAATGAAGAGCAAGCAGAATAGCCCATTTCCATAACTAAATCAGCTAATGATGTTTCTAACTGTAATAGTAAAACATTTAAAAATATATTAGTTTGGTATTTTATAAAAATATTATGTTAAAATAAATAATTAAACTTATTATCTGAATCCATATACTCCCATCGCAGGCAACACATTTAAGAATATTAAATATGTAATTTTTTATCTTTGTTATAACTTTATGACATGATACCAGTTTTTTTCAGCCACATATAACGTTATTATCCTATATGAAAGTGTATCGGGATCTAAATCATAAGTGCACAGTACCCTAATAGTAAGGTTTGTCTCTACAATGCCTTAGGCCATGGGTTCTAATGTTGTATTGTGCTTCCTTTTTACGCACCACTTCCAATACACTTTCTATGACCGACTATCAGTAACCAGCAGCCGTGTAATTTATTTATTATATAATAAAGATAAAATAGAAATTACCATTGTGTTAGAGATTGAAGATATATCTTGATTTATTTTTTCCATTGGGCAATCTAGTTTCTCTGAGTAAATCAAAGGTGCCAACAAGACAGGAACAACTTCAAGTGGAAAGTCACGTCTTAAGTTTTCTAAAAGAGCTTTTTTAATATCTTTATCAATTCCTAAAATAATAATAAAACTTTATTTTATTTTGACAAAATCAACTTTATTGTTATTGATAAATTAACCAAATATTAATTGTGCAGTTAATTATTAAGATCAGTTATAGATATTTTTAAAATATTTATTTTTGTATATAATAGATTTTTGTAATAAATCATGCATGCAATTATCATTTACCATAATGTTCATATTTAATTATGTTTAAAATTATTTGGTATGTCCTATAAAAATTCTTCTTAATAATATAATAAATTATATCAAAATTATTGAATTGTTTTGATACAAGATGCCTCAATTGAGGATCTAGGAATAAAGAAATTTATCAATCCAACATAACTTTTCAGGAGATCAAAATTCATTTTACATTCAGGCTAATGAAAAAATATATTTCTTAAAAAAATAATCCTTCCGATATAATTAATGTTACACCATTTTCAAATTAAAAAATATTTTATATATTGATTGAAATAGACTAATAATTGAAAAATCCCAATTTCTGTTGATATGTTCGTTCAATTCTAGAACCTTAAGTTATTATCATTAAAAAGTTGTTATAAAAGACTTAAACCATTAAAATGTAACTCTAACTTATATAGTTGGGTTTTTAGTTAAAATTAATCAAGTTTAATTTCATATAATTCAATACATTTTTAAACATTGTATGAATTTGAAAATTTAAAATATATTAAAAAAAAGTTAATTATGGGTAAACTGACTTTTTATTAATTTAATGTTTTTAACTTATGTTGAATCAATTTAACCTCAGAAAATATTAAAAATATTTAAAAAATAATAATTTATCATACCAAATTGATCATCAACTTTCAATACTTGATTTAAAATCAAATGAAGAACTTCAGGACTACACTCATGTAATCCACCTTCAGTGACTTGATCAGTACTACCGTCTAAAAAATTTTAATTTTTCATACAATTTGTGCCTATTCATATGTAGTATACACATACCTATGTTAATGTATGATTTAATTAATTCTGGTAATTTTTGTTTAACAAATTGTAAAGCTGATGTTGAAAAATTGGCTGATTCTAAGCACACTAATCCAAAAACAACTTCTTGAACAGGACTAAGGTGTAAAATTCTACTAAGCTGATTAAAAAACTGTACTGATGGCTTAATAGGCTATAAATAAAATAAAAATATTAATATTTCAATATCAAATACAGTACATTAAGTCAACTAATGATTACTTTTGATATTGGAAGTGGATTATCCAAAGCAAAACACAAAATTGAAGTAAGTGCTGGCTTATTCAAAAGTGTTTTACACTGTTGTGTTAATAGTTGAACTTGATAATAATCTTTATGGGATGTATTTCTAGGTCCTTCTATATCTCTTAAATCAATAAAAGAAAATAAGAAACGCAAAAGATGTCGATCTGCTTCGAATCCTTGCAATTGTATTGCCTTAAAAAATAAATTAACTCATTATAACATAAAATAGACCTATAGATATAAAAGTTTATTTTAACAAATATTAATAATGAAGATTTATTGCAAGTACCTAACTTACTTTAGTTTTTATAAGATATTTAATAATTAGGAATGTTTTTTTAAAAATTATTATTGATTCATAACAAATTAATAATTTTATAATTGACACACATAAAAATTTAGTAAAGATAAACAATTTTTTTACATAAAAATTATAATTTATGCACTGCTTAATAACAATGCAGTCTTTATATAATAAAAAAATCTCAATATAATCTAAATATATTGTTAAATATATGAGCTTGTTAACTTACTATTATTGGTTAAGTAATAAACAAATTTTTTAAAAGAAAAATTCTATTTCAAATTTTTGAGTGATTATCTCATTTTTAATAGAAACTTCATGATGTAAATTTCTAAATTAATAACACTGTGCAGGGATTTCCCTTTTTTCTTTGAAATAATAAATGGCTTTAAATAACACTATTTATTTACTAGGTTTTATATTTTGAACATTTTTTTAATTTCTACCCTAATTAATAGTTAAACAACTTTTCAATTTAAAAACAAAAAATAAATAAATATATAAGCTTGAAATTTTACTGCATTGTAATTTTTGTTTTTATTTTACAGCTAAGTACTATTTAGATGCATTTTTTAATTTTATTGATGAAAATACTGAGTTATTATTTTTATATAACAAATATAAAAGAACAAACTAAAAAAAATTGATATAATAAAATTAACATAATTGGTCAATTATAAAATCTAAAAAAAAGCATGTAGTTTAAATTGTCTCATATAACACAGTTAATTAACAACATTCTACATATTTGACTAAAAATTGACCTGGGTACAGAGGATGTATTTAGAGTTTTGACACCTCAGGTAAAGTTTTATTGCCGCCCTTACATACCACCCGTATTTTATTTATGATTACAAAAAAAAATTGTCATCTAATGCGTTGTTACCTAACATTAAATACTTACCTACTTGGATGCATAATTATCATTTTTCTTTATTTACTTTAAAAAACAGTACAAATATTTAGTACCAATTATAAACTTTATAAAATATTAACATATACCAATAGGCTTTTTATTTATTAGTGGAAAAATAGTTTTTTTTTAAATAAATTTACAGTTATGAATAAAAATTAGAAACAAGTTGAATTAAAAAAAAATTAATTTTTAATATCTATCAAAATAGAACAGTACAAATAATAAATCAGGAGGAGGGGGGCTAAAACTCCTACCTAATGTTTAAGTCACTCGAGAGTTTATATCAATTTTTATTAATATGACAATTATTTCATTTTATTGTTATTGTTTATTACTTAACATTGTGATGTAAAAGTTATAATCCTTTACATAAAAATTACTGAATTTAAAAATACAATATTAGTATTTATAATAATTATATGAATCAAAATAAAACTACATATTAATATATATGTTTTTTTTTTACATTAAATAGTTAGAGAATCAAACTCAACTTACGTCTGATATTTCTTGAACACTGGATTTGTAATTTTTTTTCGACAAATTAGCGACGAGATAGCTGATTTGCGACAACGTATATGACAATGAATCCAGGTTCATAATTCCATGAACGCCGATTCGAAAGCTTCAATATGATTTGAAGCTTTCTTCTTAGATACAAAAGTATCGTCCAACAGATTGTTGACGATTATCGTTGGGTCGTACAGAGAATGTTTACTACAATGCTTTAATATTAAAGTATCAAAAATTGTCAGATAAAGCTCCATAAATTTTGAATGCACAAATCGAGTTGGACTATTAAGTGCAACAGAAAAAACTGTTGTTGCTGTTGTCGACGATGTCAAATAACAAGGTCCAACTGCACCGAATTTTATAAGCAACTTGTATATACCATAGCATTGAGTTTTACATTTTAGAATTAAAAACTTAGAAATATATAATAAATGTTAATGATAACTAAAATAATATATAGGAAACACGTCAAAAAGTATGAGGTAGGTAGCGAAAATTCAACGAAAATATTGAAAATTTTTAAGAGGTAAGACAAAACAATATACTAAGTAGCTTCCGCTTCCACAACGAAGTCGTTGTTACACAGTGTTATCATTCACTGAATTAATACCAACTTAATACTATTACAGAGAATTTTTTTTATTTAGATAAATTTTTCCATGATAATATTACTTTCATATCAACTTAATTTTTGTGTTATCGCCTTCATACTGTCCGTTCCGGGATTTTAAATAATTAATATTTGCTGAATACCAAATACCCATTTCCCTCTCACACGTGCACGTGTTGTCCTAAAAATTCAAAATAAGTTTTTAACAAATTTTACATCCTTAAAATTTATATAAATGATATATTTTCTCTTATTGAGTATGCTAAGGTTAAATTATTTGATATATAAAAACTAATATTCTATAATCAAATAACTGTTAGTTGCGTCATTAATATCATTCAATTTTCTAGTATGTACTTATTTTTTTGCTTATAATTATTATCTTACTATATTAACATTGATACTTAAGAGTTAAAACGTTTATTTTAATAAATAGATTTTTACTATGGCAAAAGCATTGGTTGGTTTGGTTACTGGGGCGGCTTCAGGTTTAGGAAAAGCTACTGTTAACCGACTTGTAAATGATGGTTATAAAGTTATAATGTGTGATTTACCTACTTCTTCTGGAAATACTATAGCAGGATCACTGGGTTCCCATGTAAAATTTGTTCCTACTGATGTTCGCTCTGAAACTGATGTCAAGAAAGCTGTTGATACTTGTCAAGAACTGTATGGGAAAGTCAACTTAATTGTAAATTGCGCAGGAATTAGTACTGCACGAAAAACGTGTAATTTTAACAAAGGCAGTCCTCATGATTTACAAGAGTTTTCTAATATATTAATGGTAAATGTAGTAGGTTCATTTAATGTTATACGTTTAGGTGCTGCACTCATGGGTAAAAATGAAGTTGATGAAAATGATCAGCGAGGAGTTATTATTAATACATCAGGATTTGCAGCTTTTGATGGACAAATGGGACAAGCTGCATTAGCAGCTAGTCATGGTGCTTTAAATTCTATGACTTTGACTATAGCTAGAGATATGGCATCACAAAATATTAGACATTGTACAATAGCTCCAGGATTATTTGATACTCCATTAACAGATTTTTTACCTGAGAAAGTAAAGTCATTTTTTTCAGATATGACACCTTTCCCTAAACGCTTAGGTAAACCAGAAGAATTTGCAAATCTTGTTGTTAGTATCGTTAATAATCCTTTTTTGAATGCAGAAGTAATAAGGTTAGATGGTGCTTTGAGATTCTCATGAGTTCAAACAAAAAATTTTTACTATTATAATTTTAAATTTTATAAGTAGAAGTATTGTTTTTAGTGTTTGTATAAGTATTTATATGGTAACATAGACAAATAAATCATTTTCATTACTTACATGCTTATTTTTATTAATAAAGCTGTATCTAGAAGGGCATTGGATGCATGTATTCCAGGCAGCCTTGAAGAAAACGCTAATCTGCTAGCATGTAATATAAATTATAGTTTTAACTTAAAAAAAAAGAAAACAGAAAAATGGTGTTTGATAAGCAAAATAATGAGGTCATTGGGGGTGGCAGAACTGAGTAATCCAAGTTTCTACAATTCCGAAATGTAGCCCTGATTCTTGATCATTATGATTAATGACTTAGTTAGACTACTAATGAATAAAGGTAACTTAAATTAAATTTTCCGGGTGCCCATTTTAATGACTTAAATGCTTAAAGTTTTTTATACATCACTTAATAAGTTTTATTTTATGTTACAGAAGGGCCAAATATAATAAATCTTTAAGGCTTGACTGGCAAATGCAACATACCCTGTTAGCTTTCCTCTGATATCAAACATCAATTAATATAAAATTTGTTGTGATGCATATTTTTATAGTTGATAGAGTTAGAGTGACCTGCTCAACTCTAACTGGACTGGACAGTGGGTTGAGTGTTAGGTCGACCTGACTTAACACTCAAGCAATTCTCAAAGACAAAATTTTATAATGTTTTATTAAAAAATAATTTAATGTGTACAAAATAAAAAGATAATCTTAAATTTAAATATGGGATCTAGAATTATAATTTAGTGGTATTATGTTACTGATATTTTTTATTCAAACCATTTCTTAACCAAAACTTTACTTTAAAACAACTTTTTTGTGTCAAGTTTTACATATTTTTCAACAAATATTAACTAACTTTCTATTTATCTTTAAAAAAATCTAGTTGTAGCCATGGATATTGTTATGATCACAGAAAAAAATTTTATGACTACAACTCCTTTAAGTTTTTAATAATGTCAGTTTAATTATTAGTAAATTTTTTACTTGTTTCTGTACAACAAAAATTGTTTATAATCTTTTGACCCAGTTAAATTTACTAAAATTGTTCCTCTATATATTAGTAATTGTTTTTTTTATGACCTTGAGCTACAAAGGTGTCGATTTACAGTTTTTCCATTATCAAAATTCTTCATCAATAGGATACTTCTTTATTATATTATACTATATGAAGTATTCATTAAGAAATATATTTATTACATATTTTTTACTGATAATTTACTAATACTGATAGTATTTAATAATACTGATAATTTTAACATTAAGGGAAGAGTTAGATGATGAAATAATTTTAGGTGGCGTTTTGTTTTTTAATTAAACTTTAATTGGATGCTATTTATTTAACCCAACCCCTGGTACACTTGTGTATCTATCACTTTTCTTTTTAATCTATAATTTTAATTTTGATGTTAATACAATGCTTCCAATACCAAAAAATGCTAAATGATGAAAGCAACATAACTATAATAAAACTTTTGTCTTAAGTCTAAAGATGAAAATCAGATTTCCCTCAATTTTTTTATTTATTCTATCCTTGGATCACCAAGGGGATAGGATAAATAAAATTCATTGATAAAAAAGTGATTTTGATGAATCAAATATGTAAAGGTTAAAACCAAAATCAAAAAATAAATTGACAGAATAAAAAAATATTTATTAAATATGAAAGGTTTATAAAATAAATAATAAAATGAAAATGAAATGTTAGACATAATATATAAGATTAAACAAATAAAATAGGTATACTAAGTATTTTACCTAAAATTCTCTATCAATTAAACATGATATATAAGTTATAAATTAGTATTATATTAATAATAATTATAATTTAGATGTTATTAGGCTGGATAATATAGGTATAAAATAAGTAGAGCTGTATCAATTCAAAATTAAACCTCATCTTTTTCTTTTGCACCATGTTTCAAAATGCGAGTAAATTCAATGTAATTAAACATGCCTTTGGATATAGGAGCTTCACGGTACATTTCATCGACCTGATTACATAGAAAAAGTAACAATTTTAAATTATAAAATATAAGTTATTAAATAAAATAAAAGTAATAACAGTTGGTAATTAGATAGTAAGTAAATTATGTAATAAAAAATAAATAATAATACAAGATAGGAAATGTTTTGAGTGCTATTAATTATACATACATCTTCATCAGTGAATCTATCACCCATGGTAACTAAAAGCTCTCTTAAACGTTCTTCATTTATAACACCTTCATTATTTTCATCAAAGCATCCAAATGCATTTTTTATAACGTCTTCTGGATCTGTCCCTTGGAGTCTTTCTCCAAATAATGTCAGAAACATAGTAAAATTGATTGGACCCGGTGCATCATTCATCATACCTTCTAAATATTCATCAGTCGGATCCTTTCCTAAAAATTATTTTATCATGAATATACTATTTTTGCAAAATTTAAAAGAAAACACAATTTAACTAACCCAATGATGCCAACATATCATGCAAATCTTCTTTATCAATAAATCCATCACGATTTTGATCAATCAAATTGAAAGCTTCTTTGAACTCTTGTATTTGAGCTTGACCAAACATGGCAAACACATTGGACGTAGCGCGCTGCGCTCGTTTCTTTGTGGTTGCCCTCCTCCCTACCGTTTTACGTGACATGCTTGATTCGCTCTAAAGGATTATTAAACTGTATATAATATATAAAAATAAAATAAGTGTATTTTAAAGAAATAGGAAATGATAGATATGGTGAGAGACGTCATCAGGTCAATTGTATTAGGGTCTTCTAGTTCTAATGGGCAAAAAAAAAATGTTTTTACTACACTCAAAATAATGTACACAAACTTATTTTAATCTATAAATTAAATTGACCAACTAATACAGGATTAGAAATTAATTGTATTGTGGTCATAATACTACAAATACAATACAATAAATCTAATAGTATTAGATCATAAAACAAATTTTAACAATTGCTATTAGGACAACTTGAACTTTAATTATTGATTTATCCTTAAAACATAATGATAAACAAGCAGCATGAAAATACATTTTAGCAAAGTTAAACAAAGTTTAATTATGAAAAAAAATGTATAGGATTTAATAAAGGATACAATATTTTCTGAAAAACTATTGAAAATTATAAATTTTTATAAAAAAATTGAATTAAAAAAAACTACAATTATATCTAGTTTATTAATTTTTTTTCATTCCCTCAGGGTTAAAAAAAAACCTCAATAATAAAAAAATAATTTTTTTTGTCTGTTATTGTTTAAAAATTTGAATTTAAAATAAAAATTTCATCTAGAATTTTATTTTCATAAAACCATATAATATATATAATAATCTTTTCCAAAAAGCGATAAATTATTATCAATACTTAATCATGATATTATAAATGAGAACAAGAATTATCAATTGGCAATCACTTTCCAAAGGGATAGGTTGATAATGTTTATTTCAATAAAAAATAGTGAAATTTAGAATAACAACGAATAATTTTTTATTTAATAATCAAATGTTGATAAATTATTATTATATTAAATATAAATGATAAATATTATTCTTATACAAAATTAATGACTTTTCTCCTTAGTGATGGAAGATATCATAATAAAATAATGTAAAAGAACAATGATTTTTTCTCTTTAATATATCAATATAGTCAATCCTATTTTATTGCTGATTCTATGTATCTTACAAAAAAATCAAAACAATAATTTTATATAAATTTTTGTTATAAGTTAGTTTAAAATAATATATCAATATAGTCTAAAGTCACACAATTGAGTTTAAGACCGTTATCAAAATTGATGATTTAACTAAGTCTATATCAAATTATTAATTCTGTTTGATTGGGTTACTTGAAACTTTTTTCAGAAAAATTATATGCATTTATTTTATAATATATTTTATATATTATTAAAATATTGCTGTCTAAGAGGAGCTCAAACCCCTGGAACAACCCATAAATTCTTGCTTATTAACAAACTTAACTTTCTTGTCTACTAAAAATTGACCTCTTTATACAGAAAACCTTTTTTTTTTGTAGATTAATTGTATATGTTCATATTTTTAATTCAATATAAATTGATTAAAAAAATAACCTTTTAAGTCATCGTAAGAATGACCAAAAGTGGAGCAATACTTAAAAAAAAGTAATTTGTTAAATCCTCTTTTTAAAAAAAAATGTATTTTAATTTACGTCTATAGCGACATATCGACAATAATAATCATATAGTTTAAAAATTAAAAAAAATCAAGTTCAATTCTATTTTAAATGAATTATATGATTTATGATTAAAAATTATTCAAAAATAATTAAAAATAAAAACAAAAAACTACATATTAAAAGTAAACAAAAGAAAATTATTGAATCATTTAAATGGAATGCGTTACCATTTTTTTAATATGATGAGAATTTAATGACTACCAATATTGTATAAGACAAATTCCAAAATAGAACCATATATGGTTATGATTTGTTCGACTTAGATTGATAATACTGAAAATAGGCGTTTTATGGATTTACTCACAATTTTGATGCTTAATGTTAAACTTTTGCCAAAGAAAAATTTCGCTTTATGTATATCGATGGACAGCCACGTAGAGGTTGATAATAATTCGTACTAATACTGGAATACTGACGGAATACCTGCGAGTTGCAACAAAAAGTAGTTTAGGTATGATATGATAGCGTAGTATGACTCACAATACAAATACGGTTGACGATGACATAAAATGTTTTCTTTTCTATCGCTTATAAGGTTCTTGATTGGTAAGATAAAGTAGGGAAATTTATATACATATATTTGAACTATAATGATCTAACGTTAAGAATGATTAGAATTCGAGAGAGGGAATTTACTTTATCATTTTTCTATAATTTTTTAAAGGCTACACTGGCACTCAAATGCAATAAATTACTACATATTTTTATTTATAGTGTATGGCGAACCTGTATCAATTTACAAACATTCTCATTCATTTTGGTGTGTTTCTTCGGTAAAAACTTGCCTAATACCTCATTACAATTAATTTATATACAATAATTAACTCGATTCTCTTAAAATGATTAATTAATTTTTTATAAATCATATCGACATATGCTCATACACTGCCTGAAAGAAAATTGAATCGACAAATCTATTTTTTTATCATCATTACATCTTCAGGACTCAAGAATCATGATTTCGGTAAGTAAATTATGAAATTAACTACAAAATAACTTATAAATTTACTTTTTTATTAATCGTACCTTAAAAATAATTTTTTCTGTTGTGGTGGGTAAGATGATTACTGTTTCTTGAACGTTGTAACAAGCCGACTGTAATACACATTTCAATGTTGGTCTTATACCATTTATGGTTATGATATGAAAGCTAATTGATTCAATGTTACTTAATATGGTAGTCGGTTAAATAACTTACTTTCTCTTATAAGTGCTAAACTTTATAATATAATTTAAATTCAATTGTGTAGATACTTGTGAAGTAAATCATATAATTATTGATTTTCAGTGTAGGGTAAACATTTTGCTTATTGTAACATTGACCTTGACCCTTGCAGGGATGCTGCTATTGATCAAATATTTTTCAAATACCTAAATCATTTCAAAATTGTATATTGTATTTTATTTTTAAGAATCTGTTAACATTATGAGCTTTAACAAAAATTTACTCAATATATAATTGATATGAGACTATTTATTACATAGACATTTATAATATGTATATTATAATATATCTATACCCTCGTCCATGTTTAAAAATTGTTAAAATATGTTTGAAACCTTTTAAAATACTAGTATAAAATTTGTTATTAACTCGTTATTTTCTCAATTAGATAATTTTCTATTGCTATTTAAAGAAAGTTTACACCCTTATAAACTATAATAGATGATGCTTAAAAATAATTAATAACGTAATTAAAAAAATATATGTACTTTTTTGCAATATTATATCTATTTTGCAAGTACTTGAGTGAGTTATAATTAATGGATCCTTCTGTATGTGTTATGTGCATGTTATTATTGATAATTTTTCATATTGTACTTTTTATTATAATAAAAAAAAAAACCCAGCACAGTGGGGTCGTGGCATAGTGGGTACGTTGCATAGTTGGGTCCAGTATAGATTTAATCTGACAGTGATTAAAATCATTATCATAAGAAATGCTTCGATGCAAATCTGTAGATAGTGTTTAATTCTAAGAAATTGATGGATAATTACAAAAGCAACATCAACTTCTATTTCCTTAATTATACCCAGATTAGTAATTCTTTTAATTATATAGTATATAATTTTTAAAATTAATTGTTTTTAAATTATTATTGATTTTGATTTTTATTAGGTTAAAAGTAATTATTTTGAACCTACTCTTTTTTGTCCTTTAAAGTGAAAGTTTTAATAAAAAAAAAATAGATTTATTACCATAACTTTTAGCTCAACTTGCAAGTTTGAAATTGACATTATTAAATAGAAAAAAATGAAATTGTTAATATTAATATGCAATCAGGAAATTTTATAATTACTATTTACAGTACATTTATCAGTAAAGTTCGATTTTTTTTACATTTTTATCGTAATAGATCACTTAAATAAAAACCATAGTAATTATTTCTAATTAACTTTTGGTGTTTAAAAAGATTCTACAATGGAAATATTCAGAATTTAATTAATTTTAATGATTATATATCTAAAAAAAGTTGTTAATAAGATTTAATCAATTGAGCTTATTATAAAATTTGATTATAATTGTAAAAATCCATCGTTAAATTCAGGTGAAACTAAAAATCATTTTTTTTTTGTCTGTTGCCACTTTTTCTTAGCTCTCACTGGACCGATTNTGTCTGTTGCCACTTTTTCTCAGCTCTCACTGGACCGATTTCTTTCAAAAATACGTCAAAAGATCACAAATCGTATCTAGTTGAAGACATTACCCTTAAAAATTGAAAAAAATTCCCTCGTTCCCGCAAATGGGGGAAATATCCAAAAAAATTACAAATTTAAAAATCGCTAATTTTCGAAATTTTTTCACTTTTTTTTCTTAAAACTTCCATAATTTTTTGAAAAATCAACAAATCAACATAATTTTTTTTTATACTAAAACCTTAAATATCTACCTTTCATTTGATATCATTTTTTTGAAAATCTATCACTTAACCTGCTCATTAGGGGGGATTTAAAATAGTAACTTTTTTACAAAAAATAACTTTTTCAACTTAATTTTTGAAAATGTTCTGAAAATACTGTGTTCTTTAAACATATATCAAATTAAAGCTTATTTTATGTACTATAAAATGAAAAAAAAAAATTTGTCCCGACGATCTATCTTCATATTCAAAGATATGCTATTTTAACAAATTTTTTTTTTTTAATTTAACACTATCTACAGATTTGCATCAAAGCGTTTTTTATGATAGTGATTTTAATCACTGTCAGATATCATCTATACTGGACCCAACTATGCCACGACCCCACTGTGCTGGGTTTTTTAAATAATAAATTCAAGAAATATTAAAAACATTTGAAAGAAAATTAAAGTATACTTTAACTTGTATTATTTATAACTATCTGGAAACGACTATCTCTCTTGTTTTTTCATATTACTCATTAACTTTCCTGATAGCAAACATTCATATACATAGAAAATATACATCTATTTTATTAATAGATATACGTAATTAAATCCCAGTTATACATATTTTAAGTTACAGTCTTAACATTTTTCTATCTTTTAAGCACGTCAAAATTAATCTGAATTTTAAGCAAATTTTAAACTTTTTTGGTATTGTGTACTTTTCTTAATAGCTGGTTAAGTAAAAATGATAGTTGAGGTATTCTAGTTTCATGCCTAATTATTGCTTACCATATACAGATGAATTTACTAACTCAAAATAATTGTAAATCAATTAATAGCTAAAATAAAACTTATTCATTCCAAATACCTAAATGTTCTGTTGAAATTTTGTATTCTATTAAATCTGATAATAGTAACAGATTTGCTAATTCATGTGATAATATATTTAATAATTTTCAAGACATGTTTCCTACAAATTTTTCAGCTGGTTTTTATTTTGCAGGCCCAAATTTCCTAATGATCTAATTAAAGATATTCAAATTAATATTCCCTGTTTTAAGATTTTGGTCTGATAATAGATAATTGTCAAATAGTTTAGAGAAATTTTATTTTATGAAATGTATCTGGTAAAGATTTGGTAAAACATATTTTATGTTATCTAATTTTTATTTATTCATATTTTGTAACTTTATAACTAAATACTATAAGATAGATACTATATTATAATATTATATTATATTATAATTGTACTTATGTGATATTAATAAATTAATTTTATAAATGGTCCCTTTTTTTTAAAAATAGTTTTGGTATCTATATAAAATATATTTTTAGTGGTAGTTCTGTAGTTCATATATAAGAAAGGATGATAAAACTTTTTTATGTCATACCATACTAAAAAGTTTGCCTAATTGAAAACCTAAACAATGTACTTAGTCTTACTGCAAATTGAAAACTTAATATATTAGGTAATCATGAATGAGTACATATGTATATTTCAGCCTTTCAATCAAATTTATTTTGAATATATAATTATTTTTTAAATATAAACTATTTAAAAAAAAAATAATTTTTTTGTTTGGTCTTCTATTGCAAACATTTTTATACTGATAATTTCTCCAATAGATTTTCTGTAGTATTGCCCTTTTAACCCACTCCTCTAAATATAGTCTCATTTACAAAAATAATTTTTTTTCTATTTGACACTTGTTTTAAATTTAAAGAAATAATTATCATCAAATTAATTTCAATAAAAACTTATTTAATTTATTTCACAGCTCATAAATATACATACATATAACATAATTTAATTTGTTATATTAAAAGGACAAATAACTTATATTAATAAATTATTTTCATATTTAATACCATACGTGTATATTCATCTTAATTTGTGATAAATTACTTCTACATTTTTACATTATTTAAAATATATTTACATAAGTACATATAACATTGACAAGATAACCTAATTTCGAGATTTATCTTATTGCTACTCCATTGATAGTTACAGTAGCTCCAGCGGAGTGGTCAGATTTTGACTTAGAAATTGGAGATGGCTCATAATAACTATTTGGTTCATCATAAGTGTAATCTGGAACTGAGTCATATATATGACTTTGAACATCACTTAAAGAAGCATATGACATAACTGCTGTATTTTGCTCTTCTTTGCGCACAGCTCCTTCGACGTTTTCTGTATTTTTCACTGGAGTTGGTTTTTTTCTATAGAAAAAAAAATCTTACATAAAATAATTTTTAAATATAATTTTAAATTTATTTAAATAAACTTACAGTCTTAAATAAATTAATGCGAGAAGTATGACTAGGAATAAAACAATACCACCGCCAACACTAACGGCTAATCCTAAGGTTCTATTATCACTCATTACTGCATTTACAGCTAAATAAAAAAAATAATTGTATGAAAAATTAAAATAATTTTTAACATTTACTTACATTGGCAATAAGGTTGTTCTCCTGACCACTGACCATCATCTAAACATTTTCTTAAATATGGACCTATTCTTTGGAAATGTGGTATACAGTGGTATTCCGCAGCACTATTATAAGTTGTTGTATCATTCATTATTATTACACGACCGTTTTCAATTGGTCCAGGATGCTGGCAATCGACCACTAATTTAGATATGTAATCAGATATTAATAATTGTTAAAAATTTACTTAAAAATAAATAATCAATAAATTACATTGACAAACAGGTGGTCTTCCACTCCACGACCCTTTAGGAAGGCAGTGTCTTGTTGTATTATCTGTTGTAAAATAACCTTTAGGACATGAGTATTGAGCTATTCCCCCTACTGTTCTCGATAGAATTTTAACTAAAACATTGTTCTCATTTTTCAGTTCCTCGCAGTTTATTTCTGTAATAATTAAATTTATTTAATTATATTAAATCGTTATTAATACATAAATATTTACCTTGACATTTAGGAGTTTCTGAACTCCATGTTCCATTTTCTAGACATAGTCTTCTACCATGTCCATCAAGTTCATAATGTTCATCACATTCATATATTACTGCTGATCCATAGTAGGTGACGTTAGATACTAGGTTGAAATTTCCATTATCAATACTTAATGGTATACCACAATCGACATCTGTTAAAAAATAATATTGTTATTTTTCAGATCTAATAAATGTCTTATGTAGAATTACTTACAAATACATTGTGGTATTACGCCTGTCCACGATCCAGTATCATCGCAGTTACTTATAGCCTCTCCAACAACTTTATAACCTCTTTCGCAACGATATTTGACTAAAGAACCAATTTTATAAGTAGAAGAAGAAACTGTATCTGACGTTGTCCTAATAATTGTTCGTCCATATAATCGATCATTGCTCGTTACCGACAATATACTATGTTCTGGTAGTATTGGTTCTGGGCATCTTATTTCTTAAAAAAACATTTTTTTCTATTTTACTAATCATTAATTACTACAAAAATGTATTCTATACCTTCACATCTAGGAGCTGTTCCGCTCCATGTTTGATTTTCAAGACATCGTCGTAATACAACTCCTATTAATCTGTAATTGTTATTACAACTAAATCTAACTTCACTATCGAGATGTGTACTTTCATTAGAATAATGTAATGATCCATAAATAGGTGGTGTAAGTTTACCGCAATCTATGTCTATGTAAATACATAAAATAAATATTCATTGGTTAATGATATATATATACGCGTTAAGACAAGTCTTTTTACATACATTGACATTCTGGTGGTGTTGAGTTCCATTCTCCATTGTTGTTACATTGCATCACTGACGTACCAATTAATTTGTGGCCAGCGTCACAATGATATTCAATACTTGAATGAATATTAAAGTCATAACCAACCACATAACCTCCAGCTGGAACTTCGGGTTCTTGACAAGTTATCACTGTACAATATTAATATGATTTTTAATTATTTTATAACTATTATTTGAAAAAAGAAAATTTTAGAGCGCCTCCAAAGTTATATTACGTTGGCATGTAGGTGGATCCGCTGACCATTTTGCTTCTTTAGTACACATTTGGCGACGACTTGTATGAGGCTGAAGCCAGTAGTCTTGTTCACACGTATACTCGATAATACTTCCATGTGTTGTTGTACCATTAATCAAATTAACCTGTCCATTTTCAATTATTTGTGGTGGACCACAATCAACAAATCTACAGACCAACGGTTTTCCTGACCATTCTCCTCCTAGTCCACATTTTAGCTCCTGGTAATTAAGAACAGCATTATTCGCTGATAATTAAAATCAATGATATTTAGATATGGATTTTTTTCTTTGCTTACTTGTTGTCCTCCTACAGCTACAAATCCTTGATAACATATATATACTGCTGTAGAACCTGCTTTGTGACCCGTAGTAGTTACTGTCGCACCAGCAACTTCGAGTGGATCTCCACACCAATCGACTGTTAAAACATAGATTAAATTTTCATTTGACTATTTCACAAAAAGTAATACTTACACAAACATTGTGGTGTACGTCCACTCCATTTTCCGTCTTCATTGCATACTCTCTTAGCATCTCCATTCGTTAAACTGTAATTTTGATTACAAGAATATTTTGCCGATGCTTGATAAGTAGTTCTATCATCTTCCATTACTACTGTCCCGTTATCAATACCACTTAATGGTCCACAATCAATATCTAAAATAAAAATGAGTAAAATAAATTTATTGAACGACTTAATTGTTGTACTGTACATACACTTGCAACTTGGGGCAATTCCAGTCCAAAATCCATTGACTCCACAGGTTCTTTTAGACGATCCCTGAGTATAATGGCCTTCTGGGCAAGAGTATTCAATAACTGATGAGACTTTAAATGTGTATGGACTTAAAATGGTACTGTTTACTTTGATATCAGGACTTCCACAAGTTGTTGGTGCTAATCGAATTAGCGTTCAATTATTTTAAATATAAGATAGAAAAAGAATACTCATTTTCATCATACTTACTGTATTGGCATATCCAGTGTAAATAATCTAAATTACATCCTACATCATTCCACAACCACTCCCGACCTCCATCGAGTACCACACAATTTTGTTCACCATTGTAATTGTTTGGTTGATCTTTTCCCCAAGTTGGTTTTGTTACCAATTCGCCTAATTGAAAATCATTAGCTGATTAGCTCGATCGTTTAAAATTATCAATAGTTAATATTAACCATTAACCCATTTCCACGTTCGTGAAGTTAAACTAGGTTCTTTTTGTACTCCTATCCAAATCAACTGAGTCTTTAGTCGAGATTTTCGTCTTTCCAATTCAGCCAATAAAAACGTCGAAGATGACCCTCTGAAGCCGTGTGCCAAATCGCCATTGGTAGCCTGACATTTTTGTCTGGCATCCAAAAATGAAGTGCCTTTGTTCACATTAAATTCATAACATTTATTATCAAACACGGCCACATCGGTTTGCTGAGATGAACTTCCCGGAGAGCAACGATCAATAGAAAATTCTAGAAAAATTAATTTTGAATGAATACATAAATATATATAGATATCTTATTAATATTGTATTTTTAGATAATTACCGTCAGTAGAATATACTTCAACTTCGCATAAAGAAAGTGATCCTTCAACGCCTACTAACTGCAAAAATACATATTGTCCAACTATTTGTCTAGCGCAACTAAGAACTTTCGTGGTTCCTTCCTCTAAAATATTACATATTTTTAAGAATAAAAATTTTATGATTTTAGGATATTTGATTTTAATTTACCTATTGTTCCCGGAAACCATGAGCACAATGGATTTCTTTGTAGTTCAGTGCTACTGTTTCCAACTCTTATTTCTATATCTTGTAAAGGCTGATGACCTAAAAATAGAAAAACAGACTTTATAATTAAATATTTTAGTTATTTTGTTTATTCTATGAATAGTAAACATTTTCCACTTTATCACAATCGTTCTTTTATCAAAAAATCAACTAAAGTAATGGGATATTACTTTATTGGATTTAACTCAAGTTCATTACATAATATTAAGCTAATTTTATTAATTCTCAAAAACTTACATACACAGATGTGTTTCTTTGCTTTTGAGATAACATCAAATTTCAGCCACGATCATTTACCAACTAATTTTTTTGAAGATTACTTTGTTAAATTAAACTAAACCATAATATTTAATGATTTAACATAGATTTTTCTTTGTTTTAGGCTGAGGTTTCAAAAACGGCCATAAGCGCTGCAGCTGCGGGTATTGCCGGACTTTGTTTTGTTGGTTACTGCATATACTTCGATCGCAAACGTCGTAGTGATCCAAATTTTAAAGCTAACTTGCGCAAGAAACGTATGATGAATAGAGAAAGAGAGAAGGCAGCTCAGGCAGCTAAATCAATTTTTCCAGATTTTACCGATCAACAGGCTGTTCAGAGATTTTTTTTACAAGAAGTACAAATGGGCGAATCTTATTTAGAACAAGGAGATGTAGAAAATGGCGTGCAACATTTGGCTAACGCCGTTGTCGTGTGTGGGCAACCCACTGAATTGTTAAATGTACTACAACGATCACTTCCCGAACGAGTATTTGAACTTCTCATTAAGAGGTTACCGGAGTTGGGAAAAAATCTCATGAGAAAACCACAGCAAGGACCTGTTATCAAGGAGTTAGATGTTTCTGAAGTCGAGTAAAAGAAACGCAATACTCTTTTTTTATGAAAAAAAAAATTAGATTTATCAATTTTAGAGTATTTTAAGATTAGTAAACAAATGTTAATTGTTATTCATGAAAAAGAATAAATTACAAAAAAAAAAAGAAATCATAGTCATATATTTTATGTAGTTCTTTCAATTGTTATTTTAAAACAATGAAATTGATTTCGTAATAAAATGAAAAGTATTTGATGTTAATTTTTGAATAATATGCAACTAGAACAGATGTTAGTTTGTATTTTATTTTTTCGTGTGTGTTTTTTTACCAACCTAACACATTTCAGTCTGCATTTATTTTTATATTAGCATAAAATATCGCGTGAAATATTAAACTGCTAAATTGTAAATTAGCAACAAAGTTCTAACTTATGTTATGAAGATAATATAAATACCTCGTTATTACTTTGAACTTAAGGCTTATTAGTATTAGTCGTTAAAAATAGAACTTTTATTATGGACTGAGTGACTATATTTTGTTAGATGTACTCATCCGCGGATTAAATGTTATGATTGGAACTATTAAAAGCAATAATATAATTGATATAAAAATATTATACTCCATTTTTTTTTTTTTTTTTGTATTAAAAATAAAAATATTTTTAAATATTATTTGAATTTTTTATTTTAAATTTAAATTGTAGAAATGTAGTACTATAACCAAAAAGTATTTACCGCAACAACCCCTTGTTGTAATAGATATAGCTCTGACTGGATATGACTGTAATAAATCAACTGACCACCATGGTGAAGGTTCTTTAAGAGTCTCCGTACACCGACGGCCGTCGTGTACAGTAGTGGGATCACCATCATTGGCGTTACCAGAGTTTCCACCTCTAGCCGTGGTAGATTGATTGGTTGGTTTATGTACAGCTACATTAGTTCCTATTAAAAGTGAATAAATTAATTTAAGCGCATTTGTCAGTTGAATGATGAGCTATTAATGAACATTATGTTTTTGGAATATTGAAATAATTGTAAGAGAAAAATAAATCCAAATGTTTTTAATTAACTATATTTACCACAAAACGGTAGATCTCCAATCCATGCGCCATTTGCAGAACATGTTATCGATTCTGAACTAAAATAATTTTTTAAAATTATCATGAAATTAAATATATAAATATATCATACCCGAAAAGTTTATATCCATCATCACACGTATATGTAGCCCTGGATCCTTCCCTTGTAAGTTTAGCATTGACAGGAACGGGTGGATGACCGCAGCTATCTCCTGTAAATAAAAATATACAATATTGTTTACAGTATTTACTATACTAAACATATTTTGAGTGTAAAAAAAAAATATTTAGCATTATTCTAGTATTTTATTTCAAACAAGACATTTTTCGAAATATTATAATACAATAAATAAATTCTTTTAAGTATTCTATTAAAAAAATTTTATATGTATTCTGTGTATTAATAAAAGCATAGACTTCGATAGCATAGTCTTGGAATCTTAAAATACTTTAATAACTATTATTATCACCCCTTGTTTCTAAATAAAATAATATTATAAAGACACGAATAGTAGTTAAACTGGACAAAAATCAGTTCAAAATGATAATGATCTCATTAATAAAATGCTTTAAAATATTAAATATCAATAAGAGTTTTAAGTTAGTATGTAAATATTCATAAGTAGTTGATTTGTAATTATATAACGGAATAATATTAATTGAATAAAATTTATTCAAGTTTTTAATACTCGTTTATCTTGTTTTTAAGCTAATATGTTTATACTATAGAACATAAAACATAGAAATTACGATTTTTCTGGTGAATGAGTTTTAAAAAGGTATTTGACACTATTGACTATTATAACTTAATATGATTATTTTTAGTTTTGGTCTTTCCACCCGATTGTAGGTCACTACTTCTATTTGTATTTAAACACCTTTTTGCCGTTCAATTAATATCATGACATTAGTTACATGATTTGTTGCCCTTAAAATTTTCAGTTTATTAAATTTTAGTTCATTAAGAAAAGTCCAAAAAAATAATCCCTTATGTTTGCCTTTTATTTTTTACTACACAGAACAACGAGACTCTCATTATACCTACACAGTAAAGCTTAACATATATTTTTTATGTAATTTTAAGGCAATATGCTAAAATTGATAACTAAAAAGTTTTAGCCTTTTTTCAATTGAAACAATCGTATACATTAATGTAGTTTGTATAGATGCTATAACAATAAATAATCATGCTTGTAGATTTTCAACAAAATTAATATATATTATTGTTTTTTATAAAATCTTAAAATATACCATAAAATAACTAGTTTATAAACTAGCCTTTTAAAGTTGGGTAAATAATTCAAGTAAACCCCTTTTATGCATAATGAAAAATGCACTCCCATTGAATTAGAATTATTCAATGATTTTTTATCGTAGTTAATTTGACAGAAATTTTTCTTAAACTTCTACGGAAGTTAAGAAATATCGTTATGAAATCATACACGCAGGTAGAAAATTTATTAGTTTTTTTAATATTCATTCAACCATAAAGTCTTTAACTATTATCGTAGAAATGGAAAGTAATAACATCAATTTATGCATAATATTTTCACAATTTTAAGTTGGAGTTATACCTGTAATAATTATCAATCAATATTTTAATTAATTATTGTTTATTTATTAAATGGTTAATAAAAAAAATGTTTGTTTATTATTATTATTAGCATGTAATATAAACGTGAAAGTAGTAATTTTTTTTATGGTTATGGTGTAGTGGTTTTGACTGCGGTAAATTTAGTTTTGTGTAAAAATATATGTCCATTAAACAAACTGAAAAATGTTAAACTAAAATTAATTTGAATATTATTTTTGATTATTGTTGTGGTTCAGACTTTGGTCTCCTTCGACCTAGATGGTCGAAACCGTTTGGCTCAAGGGCGTGGAACAATTCAAACACCTAAAGTTATTTTTTATTACAACCAGTTAATGACAGACCATAGAGTAACTCTATGTGATAAACACATAAAGATCTAGTTTAAGGCATAGAGTAACTTAATGATTTCGGTTGACCGCGGCATCAGCTGTTTTGTATCATTAACACGGAGAAGACACTGTTAGTAAACGTACGAGCGCTGTGAGTACAATGCGTCTTTGATAACAATTAGCGAGAAAGCAAAGTCAAACTGGACAATGGTGTGCACCTCTAGGATTTAGTGTTGGTCATGACCGCGTTTATAAAGTAAAATCCGATATGATCCATAACCTGATATTTTTATCCGTGTACTGTATTGTATTTTAATATTTTGTTCTACATAACTGCCTGTATAACGCGAAGGCCGTTTATGAACAATAACAAAACTTATTATTATTGTGTGCAATAAACATGTTGAAAAATAAGATATAAATGGTTCATTTGTTTAACTTGAAGACAATATTAAGATTTTTCCTATATATTTATATAAATATATTATATTTATGCTTTTCATTAGTCAAGTTTTAATATTAATATATTATATAGTATTATTATTAGTTGTATTAATATTTTGCCGAATAACCAATTACATAAATTATGTGTAAGTATACACTCTTGTGTCAAACGTATTTAAAATCGTAAAACAATATAAGTAATATTATTATAATTAATAGCTTGCAAAAAAAGGAAATAAGTGGCCAAAAGTCATTTAGCAATTAGTTTTCAGAATATGTATTTCAGATAACAGGTATTATTAACAACATTTTCAGAAACATTTATTGTTTTTCCAATAATAATAATAATAAACTTTATAAATAAAAGAATAAATCTATACATTGAATGGGTTGTAATTTATTTTCTTAGTCACTGTAGTTAATAGCCAAGGAATATAAAATTTCTTGTGTTTATGTATTCAACTGTAGTACAAAGAATACTAATCATGATTTTTGTTTATGGACACTTAAATAAACATGAATATTGGACGGTTATACATATTTCTTTATTTGATATATGAGTAACGTGGTTTGAAAAATAAACTCATGAATAATTTTATCATTAATTTTTTTGTTTTCAATCTTGTACTACGATTTAGTTGAATAGATTCAATCAATTGTTAAATCGGAGCATTATTAACAAAAATGAATCGAAGGAAGTAGAATAGATAATTTATTGAGTGAATGTAAACGAAATCGATTTTTGGGTTACATAATCATTTTCTTCGAGTACCTATTTTTTTAAAGAAATTCATTGGATTTATTGGTTACTCAATCTGAGCAATTATTTCAAAAAAATAATAATAATATTAACTGTTTTCCTTACAATAAATGCAAAGTATTTCAAAACGCCCTTATTTTTTTTTTTTAATTTGAACTATAATACTGAGATTTGTTATTAGAATTAATTAGTATATTTATAGTTGTATAAAAATATTTGATTTACTGCCCATAATATGAGTAGTAAGTCAAATACTGTCAATAATATGATAGAACATTATAATATTAAAAATGTATTCATATAATTGAAGTATAAATTTTGATGAATTTGTTTTTTATTGTGATAAGATTTTGTAGTAAAATAATATGCCAAGAGTTTTGTTAAACACTGAAATATGCAAATAGCAAAAAAAACTACTTATCTACGTATAAATCTTATATTACATCACCACATGATACATTTTATCCTTAAAATAAGACTATCAGTTTGGTTAGGCGACAGGATGTTAACGATACAACTCAGCGAGTAACTAATATGTTTTTGGCGCACTAAACCGTAACACATTAACGTGTGATCGAGCAACATAACATTACACGGTGTTCATTATTGGTCGTTAAATAATACATGTACTGCATCCTTTTCGTTTTAAAAGGATTGTTCGGCTATTTTTTTTATAAAAACTTTTATTTATAAGAAAATATTTCAATAAACAAAAAACAGTTGTATTAAAACATTGAATTTTACACATTCATACTATATGTATATAATAATAAATTATAATATGACATGGACTACTACTATAGTAGTCTTTTTTAGTTCTACAAATGTGACATTCATTTAATTAGAGTGAAAATCCTACCGGAAATAACTTTCTGAATTATAACTCATCGAGAATTCAAGAAAGTTATGTTTAATTCCTTTTCATTATTTAAAATTACAGGTTAGTCGTTAAAAATCTGAATAAATACTGCAAATTTGATTTAAAACTTGCAATAAATTGTATACAATTTTAGCGAAATAGAAAAAACATTACTGATTTTCAAGTTTCTTATAAGCGATTCTTATAGAAAACTTTACAGATATTACTAGCCGTAGGCTTATTAACTGATTATCGAATAAGTACCAGTATTAGTCATTATTGCAAGTAATTGCTTAAAGGGTTTCTTCAGTTATTTAATAGCGTAGTTATTTTTGTAAATTACTATAACTTCCATTAAATTATATTTCTAACATTTAGTCGATTTGGGTGGTATTGTAATTGAAGATTTACAAACAACGTAATAACCCTCATTAAGGCAACTGCATAAACTGAAATAATATTCAGTTTAATTTCCTGTATGGCATATTAAACCAAATTTACTCGCAATACAATCTTTTTTTAATTGCAGATTAATTTTAGGAGAAAAAATTTTTTTTTAGCATGATTAATTTAAGTCAAATGCAAATAACAAGAGTATCGATTTTTTTCTAGCAAACATTTATTTAAATTATTATAAGTAGAACTAATCTGTTAAAACAGGTTGTTGTAACTACATTTCAACAAATATGAATATCTGTGTCATTTAACTTAAAAAGTTTTATCCCTCAACTGTTTCCATTATGATATACATCATACGATTAAAAAGAAAGGACAAGATGCTAAGAAAAATTTTGTATAATCCGAGAAACTTGTCATCACAAGAGTTTTGTTGAGAAAATGTCTAGATAACTGTATTTTTTTATCAGAATAATTTTGTTTAAATTAAAATTAACAGAAACTGACGGATTTCAAAAATCAGAATAGATTAGTAATGAATAATGTATACATATAGTTCGCCGTGTAGTTAAGTATGTAGGGGAGACCGGGGTCAAAAGTAACATTTTGGACTTTATACTATTTTTTGGAATAAATATTATTTATTTTTGGCTTTTAACACAGCCATTCTATAGAGGAACATATTTACTATTAAATAACACCAAATTAAGTATTTAAAAGTTAATTTAAAGTATAGATTTTTTTGATAAAAAAAAATAAATAAACTGTTACAATTGACCCCAACATAGAGTCAATTGTAACACACCTTGGGGTCAAATGTTACACACCATTTAATTTAATTTTCAACTAATAAAACTGATAAAATTATTATTTTTTTAACAAAACATACATTTTTTACTTATATTATAGAAACAGAATTGTAAAGTATCATAAAAAATAAATAATGTGACAAAACTTAATACTTATATAACAATCAGTCTCAAATGTTTCTTATTTTTTTAACAAAACATACATTTTTTACTTTAACACATTCAAAATTAAATACTAATAAAACAAGTAATATAATATTTATGGTATGACATAATAACTTAATAATATTAAGAAAATATAAACTTTATAATTTATTATCACTGATAAAAGGTAGTGTTACAATTGACCCCGAACTGTTCGTTACAATTGTCCCCGATTAGAATTTTTTTCTTTGAGCGCAAAAAGAAAAATAAATTTAATTTGTAGCTCCTTTATTATTTATGGATCATATTCTCTATAATCACCTGAATGGAAAAATATTCCACTTTAATAAATACATGTAAAATTCACGGAGTAAAATTGAAAATTACAAAAAAAAAATAATCACTTTTTCTCGTTGATATCAGTTTTTATTATTTATCTGATAAACGAAACACGGTAACCCCTAACTGATAACATGCAAATAAGGCACATAAATGTGTGTAAATATTGCACGTACACCCAATTTTTAATATTTGTCATCGAAAAAAATATTTAGCTTGTTACAATTGACCCGTGTTACTTTTGACCCCGGTCTCCCCTACACTTTCTATGTATCTATCATATATAAAATTACATTTATGATTGCCAGCTAGCTAACATTGAAATGTATGTAAGTCATAATTATATCTCAAAAAAAGTAATCGAATTCAATTTCTATGTTGTTGTTGAACTTACAAGTTAATTAAATCCACCAGTATAAGTATATAGGTCACTTCATATTGTAAATTGATACTTAATCATATAGTATAAATTACTATGTTTTTACTTTAACTTATGTAGGCGTTGTTTCGTGATTAATGAAACACAAATAAACAGAGAAACTCTTCAAAGCATTTCTATTGACAAAGTAACAAATATTTTGTTGATGAAAGTAAAGAAATGTCAAAAAGATTATTCTAATAAGAAACTTTAATCGCACCAGAAAAATCGGGTGCGGACGGTTAATGCTTAGGCATAAAAACAGATGCTGCTTGAAATGTTAAAAGATTTATCCACATCTTCCATTATAAGCTGACGTTTCGGACTCGTAGTAGAGTTCATTTTCAGAGCGATTATTACAGGCCTGTAGTTGTAACTATACTGTCCAACAGGCCCGAAATGTCAACCGAAAATGGATATATCCGTAAATATTTCAAGCAATTCACAAAAGCTTTAACGTTTTCTTAAAAACAGATACGTTGCAAGTAGGAAACAAGAGAGCTTATATCACGTCAGAAACATGACAGGAGACTAATTCGAGAGGTATGCGATAATCGCATATAATATATTTGTCTAGTATGGAAAACGAAAATGATAAATAATTTCTATTATTGAACAGATTTGAGATTTTTTATCATTTATTTAATTCTATAGCAAATGTCGCGTGAGCCATTATCAGAGGCATAATAACAGAACCGCAAAAGTGCATTTTTGTAATCCTTAAAATCATTATTTTGTATATTGATAAGTTTGATTAAATTTACCTTTCCTTATCGGCTGCAATTTCGTTTTTCCTAGAGAGATATTTATAGCCATAATTTTTTTATTATTACGGTATTACGAAGAACCTTTGTAGTCTAGGTGTATGTATCTACTGTGTTGTCTACAGCTGCCAAATATTTCTCGTGTGTTTGCATTACACTAAAGACTTAAATAATATTTTTATTTTCTGATTTTTAACTATTTTATCTTTTTTTTAACTTGTTAATTAAAACTTATTATTAAAAAATAATTATAATTTTTTACATGTAGTTATGTAATATTACAAGTTTATTGTGAATTTAATAAATGTATTATACTGTTAAATAAAAATTGCGTAAAATAATACTAAAACATTGTAAATATATTGTTTAAATATCTTTAGATGAGAATATATTTATTATTGACCAATAAATTTCTCGTAAAATAATAATAATCTTGAAAATATATGTTTGTTTTGTTTTTTCTCTCCAATCATAAGTGGTTAAATACTTTTTACAACTGTCCCTTATCTCTTACCAACTTAATGTTATTAAATAGTCTTATTAAAAAGAAAATTAGTCAATTAAGAAAATAACTGATCGATAATAATAACTTTTGGACCTCAGAAATTATTAGCATTTTTTTCCTAGACGGGTGGAAGTGTGCGATCGAGAAATGTGTAATAATAAAATAGTTACATTCTATTCATAATTTACTAGAGCAAAAAATAAAAAGACTAAACGAATGATTCATTGATTATTTTTAATTTGAAAGACAGATATTTAAAAAAATGAATACTAAAGTCAATCGAGCCAGGTAGTAAGAGCGACATATTTAAATAGTCAGATGAACTAAATTAAAGTGTCATAAATGTATAGAACATGAGCATGAGAGAACGTGACTCGGTGGCCAAATGGTAAAAGATAGAAAAAATCCTATTTTACTCAATAGTTACTCGATTGCGTTCTTTCGTGTCCCGCGGTGTAGTAATTATTTCTTAAACAAATTGGCAACGTTGTTTTCATAAGACTGTATAATTAAAAGGGACAGAGCATTAAAATAATTCTTTTAGCTTACTAATACCATGTTGCCAGTCTATGAACAATATATAGTATAATGAATATATTGTATGAGAGAACGTGACTTCACGGCCAAATGGTAAGATTGAAAAAAATATACATTATTCAATAGTCACTCTGTTGTGTTGTTTCGTGTCCCGCGGTGTAGAAATTAGTTCATAAGCAAACTGGCAACGTTGCTTCCATAAGTGCGTATAATTCAAAGGGACAGAAAGTTAAAATTATTCTTGATGCTTATGAATTCCACACGTTGTTTATTATTAACTCTATTAACTCATCTATTATTTGAATTTGTCGCCGCTTTGAAAATATTTGGTTCGTCTGCTTAAAACGGTTGTTTGAATTTGTCGCTCAAATATACTAACATTATTGCTATTAATAGACTGTCTAGGTAAGTTATTTTTCTATTTCCTATTTATTGCCCATTAGTATTGTAAATAAATTGCATTTATAAAATGTATGTTTATTTTGTCGGCTTAGTCAATTGTCGGTACAAATTATTCAAGTACCACTTTTACTACATTAAAGTTATCCTTTTTTGTTATTTTTTTAGAAGAAATGTTTCCTCTATTTGATAGAAGNTAAATAATCTCACTATATTGTTCTCATTGTTTGTAACAATGAGAACAATAGAAACCCGTTTCCTGACTTACTGAACACCCTGTATAAGTATGTAAAATAGGCAACTTCATCATAAAAATTGCTTTATTATTGGTATTTTATTTTTTATGCGATAAGGGTAGATATAATATATATAATATGTTTTTTAATTAGCTTTACAGACTACTGATTTATCATTGACCATTAAGTTTCTCCTAAAGTAATAATAATCTTAAAAATATTTTTTTTGGCTTTTTTGAGTACTATTAATCTCTCAAATTTTAAGTGGTTAAATTCTTTTCAAGTCTGTATTTTATCTCTTATAAATGGAACAACTTTATTATTTTAAAGGGTAGCGTACATTTTTAACTTAATTATAAAATAGAAAATGGTTTAATTTAAAAAATGACGTGTCGATAATAACTATTAAACCCGTACTTAAGCAATTATTAGTACTTTATTCTTAGGCAAATGGAAATGTACGGGCGAGAAATGTTTAATGATAAATATAGACATAACCGTTCACAAATAAATTAGGGCAATAAATTGAAAACTACACAACTAATTGCCGATAATTATAATGATTATTTTAAATTTCATGGACAGATATAGAAGTCAATCGAGCCAAGTAGTAAGAGCGACGTATATAAATAATCATATGAATAAAATTAAAGTGTCATAAATGTATAGTACAGAGATTATATATTGAACATGAACATGAGAGAACGTGACTCGACGGCTAAATGGCAAGATAGAAAAAATCTTACATTACTCCTCAATGATCATTCAGCTGTGTTTTTTCGTGTCCCGCGTATTAGGAATAAGTTCATAAGCAAACTGACAACGTTGCTTTCATAAGTCTGTATATATTTTAGGGACAAAGCATTAAAATCGTCCTTTACGTTTACCATTACCATGTTGCCAGTTTGCTTATTAACTTGTATTTGAATTTGTCGCTCATACTATTTGGTGTCAGTGTTCAATTTCTCTAATATCTGTCCATTAAATGGAAAATGAATTTGTCGCCGCTTCGAAAATATTTGTTCCGTCTGCTGAAAACGGTTGTTTGCATTTGTCGCTCAAATGTACTAAAATTATTTCTATTAATAGACCGTCTGGTTGAGATATTTTTCTGTTTCTTATTTGTTGTCCATTAGTATTGTAATTAAATTGCATTTATAAAATGTATGTTATTTATTATGACGGCTTAGTCAATTATCGGTACAAATTATTCAACCGCCATTTTTACTACATTGAAATTACTCTTTTTTTTAGCAGAAATGTTTGATATAAAATTTTCTTTTTACATTTTATTTGAGATTAAATATACGTTGTAATTTACATGGATTAAATTATTGTTGAATATCAATGTACATAATAATTTTCATGAACAAATCAACAATTCTTGTGTTACATGATTAACGGTTTTACTGTTATGACTATATTTTCACTTCAGTACTAAATTTCTACTTAAATATACAAATGGTCTCCTGTAATAAAATACATTTTAATAATTTTCTTTTCCTTTCTCCGTTTATAAATGGATGATGTAAATTTTAAATTTGTTTTAATAATATAATGTTCGTTTATTTATTTGCTAAAGCAATCAGAAAAAAGTTTTTCATTATTATTTTATAATCAACCACAAAATTAATTAAATAAAATTATCAACATTTCTATTATAGTTTTATTGTATTAAAAAAAATAATTCTGAGGTATTTTATCTTTCAAAATAATAATTATGCGTAAGTAGCTTATGATTTATAAACTTAGGATACGATCGATTTTTCGAGTATTAATCAACACAATCGTAATTTATCTAAAATAAAAATTGCTTACGATTTATTTTCATGGAGTTGGTTACCTCGGGAGTGGTCTAAACAAGTGCTATAAATACATAGAGTCCCGAAACCTATTCATGATAAAACATTGAAATTATTTGATTAAATTTTACCACTAGGGTTTACTCAGTTGACAAAACACCGAATGATTTTCACTCTATAAATTAATAGCATTTTTATTGAAACACCATTATCATGCGATAATTTCATTTATGGAACGTAATATAATTGTATTAATGTTTTAAGAATCGGCACCCTGGACGCATAGGCCGTGACAATCAGTCGACGACCGGTCGTGACCGGCAGAGACTTTATGGACTTTGCACTCATTAGGTCGTTCCGGGTGCGTATTCAAACCACCGGTTTTATTAATAGCCAGACGGCTGATCGAGAGCGACACGGTTTGACGTCTAGAACTGGGACGGTACCGTGTCCCTGTGAAATCTATAAATAAACTCAAGTAAAAATAAACAAATTTGAAATGCAATAAATAATTATCCAGTGTGAAGTTAAACGTATTATATAAAATATTAGTGTTTCTATTCTTTTGCTTTACAATACGGAAATTATACATATGGGTAATTAGAGAAGACAGTGCTCGGTCTCATTCACAGAAGTTATGCAAACAAAACTATATCAGTCCTATATATTATAACTTATAACACTAGCTTAGAATAATTATAACTCATTTACAACGCAATTCCGCATTGTCGTTAATTGCGATGAAAAGTAGTACGAGATTTTACATTAATCTGTTATACAATTTGATAAAACCAAAAACCATATGAGGTGGTATAAGAATGAAAGTGAATTATATGTTCATATGAACGTGATGTGTTGTAATTGTTATTTAAGAACAATATATATGACTTATAAATATAAGCTTTGGTATTACATTTTTCTCTTAAGCTAACGTTCTTAACGTTTAATTAGGTTTTTTGAATAAAAAAATTAAACTTATTTTTAGCACTACTCGTAACTACACCTGTAAAATCTAAAGTTTAACGTTTTATTTATCGTATGAAGAATTTAATTAACTAATCGAAAATGCGAAACAACTTGCTTGTAATAAACTAATAGAACAAATGTATTGGAAAAATATATTTTATGTTAAACCAAATTATTTTTAATTTATTTAACTAGTTGTGAACATATGAATAATCAATATTTTTTTGAGTCATTCTAATAAATATTATGTTAACATTGTTGTATTTTAGGTGAATTGGTATAATATTAATGAATTACTGTAAAGTTCGCGACAAGTCATGTAAGGTACAGTCGACCCTAAATAATTGAAATAGAGGCTAAAATGATATGATGATGAATGGACAAATAACCACCAGATGATCCAGAGGGAAGAGGCGCGGAGCGTGTGAGTCACACATGGACTATGATCGCCACTTAAAAAAAGTATTTTGAATGATAAAATAAGTAGTTCTATTTTAACGTCTAAAATTGTTTGTATCCCTCTCAAAAAATTCTGGATCCGCTTCTAATAATAAATTATGCTAGAACTATTTATTAGAGCGTCTTTGTTAAGTTTGATGAAGAATCGCATGGTTAATAGTTAAAGGCTCAAAATTGAACAAGATTAGTTTTGTATTGATTGTATCGATCAATAAAACTTTAATTCACTTTATTTTAATAATTTTTTAATGAATAAAATTTAAATAAGTTAACTATAAAATTCACTTCCTTTCTTTTAAATTTGTAGTACCTATGTCATAAAATATTAAATTAATAGTGATAATAATTTGTGTAATATAACCTAATAAGTTTTTAATTACACGCTATGATAAAATTAAAATTTATTTTAGGGATACTTTAATTGACGGACATAGACTGTACTCATATTTTACCGAGTAAATACTTTCTTTCAAAATGATTTATGACTGTTTTCATTATCACAAATTATTTTGCGCATCATACATACGCTCTCCTATTTTTAAAGACAATTTACTCTTTCTTTTTTATCGTGCTATATTAATAGCCCATATAAAAATCGTATGGAGACACCGTTACTTTTTAATAATACCCGCTTTTACAAATCAGTGTCTCTGTGTCCATTTTACAAAATGGTGTAAGTATTTTCTACTTGCCAACCAGTTAAGCTGTTATTGTCATGATAGATCATCATTCACACATAATGCTGATTAGTCGAAGTTGTTGAGCATTCCCTGACAAAGTTGAAGTGAAATGTGGTAATTAGTTTTTCCTCATAGTATCATACTTTTCTTTGTTTAGAAATAAATTTTAAAAAAGCAGATGTTATAAATGTGTTTTTTTTAAATTATTGTATGTTTTTATTATCAAACAAACAATTTTTATATGGCAGTTAGTATTAAGTTTGAAAATTTAAATTTTCAAAAAAATAGTTTAAATATTTAAGACCGAAATAAGGCGAAAATATTATAAAAAAAACAAGGATATCTAATTCATAGACGCTTTAATATATCCAAACAGTATTTAGTTCGTTGAATTCCAATTAGAAAATAAATTAGAAACAAATTATAATTGCCTATATAAAAACTGGTATTTTTAACCGGATTTCTAAAGTCAACGGTTTTAATCTTATAAAAACCTAATTTCAGAGAAAAAATTTAATTAGACATATGAAAATACAACATGGACAGCTTAAATTTTAAATAATAATTACTTACTATTAATGAAAACGAAAAGTGGAAGTAAAAGTAAAACCGTGACGTTTGTTTGAATAATAATTATTGTAATGCGATTTTGGGCGTGTTATGTTACTCAGGATAATAATAATTAGTTATAAACTAATCATCAGTTTAAATTCTGAAAGCAAAAAAATTACCAGTTCTTTTGTGGAACATGATATTTGTGTTTAAGGTTAATTTCTATAAGTTTAATAAAAATGAAATAAATGAAAATATTTTTCCGAATGTAAATTTTTTGAAAGCAAAAGCCAGGAGTATTTTTTAAATTAATATTTTAAAGATTGATGTTGCTATAATTTAGAACGATTAACCTAACAAAAGCTGCAATTTGACAATCATTGATGAAACTGAAAGTTTACTAGACATAGATTATAATTATTAAGAAATTAAATCGCAGAACGTTTTAAAATCAGTGTGGATTGAATTTCTGTTTAGAATTTCAAATGCTTTAAAAAACCTAATAACTACTATTATACGATCAACCATTGTCACGAAATCCGAGTGAAAATGTAGGTAAGTTACTTCTTATCTAAACACTTTATTTTTATATTTTTTACACAATCCAACAACGCACGAAGAAATAGTAGTTGTAGAAAACTCTCAAGGCGAACAGCTCTTTATAAAACCGTGGCTTCTTAGTTTAGTGTTATTTTCATATTCACACGATTTGACTGTTTATGTCCAGTTTAATTTTTTTATACCTAAATAAGTTTACACACATTATCTGCATGTTATAATTTATTGGTCAAAAACACATAGTACTCGCACTTTCATTTAATGTTAAGATCAAGTGTTATCATCAAACCGGTATCACTCTAAATGAAACTTTGTGCCATTACAACCGTGATTACCTCAGGTAAAACGGTGTATAGTTAGTATAATATCTAGCTAAAACATATATTTATTCAGCAACTTGATAATAAGGATAATCGTTTGATCACTACAAACAACAATATATAATGGATAGGCCGTAGGGTAAAATGTCATTTCTATAATATTTCCAACAATAAAAAGAAAAATTTTAACTAGTATTAATTATTACGTACCAATAGCACACATACAAACCATAATTATAAGCAACAAACTTTTTTTAAAAAAGCTATTTGATTAAATATTTTGATACCGTTTATTAATTTTTTGACAAACTCATGGTCACGAATCAAGTTATAATGACTTTAAATGCTTCAATTTTTAATGATACTGAAGAATTACATTATTGAAGCAAATTTAAAACATACCCGTTTTTTAAATAAATGTCTAAATTGTATATTTATCAAATTTCGAGTGATTCAATGTCATACAGTGTCATTTGATACAAACCTGCTTTAAATTAAGTCACGTTATTGTAAGTGAATAATAATAATAACCTTACTCCATTTAAATAAGTTCAATTAAAAACCGAGTAAGGTTTTACTACTTAAAAAGTATCTAAAACTTTTTTATTCAATTAAAATTACCTAAAATCTAAAAAAATTTCTAGCACTTGTATTAATATGAATATTTAAGATATATAAAAAAAAAATTTTTACACATTACATTATTAGTATTATTAATTGACTATTTAATTCATAATTGTGTGGTTATCAAAAATTGATATTTACTGAATAAAGTGTTAATTTTTTTTTTCATTAAAATTTTATTGAGATAGCGTTTGTAGCCATCATAGTATATTTTGTATAAATCTGATAATAACATTAAATATTAATATGTACCTTTAAGATCAATATTTATTTAATGAAATCATGTAGTTTTTTAACGACCCACCATGCAAAACATTTTCAATATCGTTATGCAGTCGACCAGAATAAAATTTGCGTACATACTACAAGTAGAGTCCAAGGTTACTTATAGTTAATATTCGCCCTTAAACTTTTCAGTTTAATTTTAATGACCAACTGAATCTATAAAAAATTGTTTTAATTAAATAAATAATTAAAAATCTACACAAATTATAATTACTTAATCAAGATAAATTAATACGAAATATAAAAGCTAATTAGGTTAGAAAGATAAAATTTTATTTAAATAAAGAAAAAAATTTAACTTTTTTTCCTAATCATAGCAAATAGACAATTACTTCCAATTGCCATATTATATTCTAAAAATATAATTTTGATTGCCTGAAATGATTTATTATTATTAACGGCTTTATCAATACGCAGTAATCATAAATAGTTAAAAATATTGTCTGACCTTAGAATATATGACTTAATAACTTTTGATAAATGATATGGCATATAAAAATAATGCTATTGCACTATATTAGATTTACACAATTGGTTTTTTGATAAATTCATTTTATTTTTATATTCTCTTCCAAAATCAAATGTAATTAAAAATTATTAATTGTAAATTTTATTTGACTATGAAATCATGTGAAAGTATTTTAAATAATCATAAAACTAGGTGACATAAATTTTTTATGAAATAATTAAGTATATATATAGTGTTTAACTTACAAGTACTGGTCAATTGATTATTAAAGAAACCGATGTTTAATCAGTACAATCATTCGTTATATCAATCTATAATTTTAATTAGAGATTTTAACTTGGAAATTTCGACAGTTAATTTTACTAGCAAACAAGTTGGTATAAAAAGTTTATAAAAGTAATCCAAATATTATGTTACTGAGAAAAATTATAGATTTAGTTAAAAATCCGTCCTATAAAATTTAATGTCTACTTATTCATATTTCATATGAATAATAAGTTAATGTAATTTTACAATTAATTTCTTCCTATAAATATGGTATTTTATTTAAACATAACTATTTATTACTTAATATTAAAATTTGATCATTTTATCTGAAAACAAAATTATAAAGCATTGAAATATTATAACATTCTAATTTCACTTATACAAGGTCCTTATTTTAGATATTGAATAACACAATGAATAATTTGATTCGGTACGTATCGACAGAGCTCTTGTATCTCAGTAGGTGTCACGTGCGATAAAAATGATTTATTCTTGCAAGTGCAACTACAGAATTTGCGTAACTTAATTTTCTTATGGTCATTGACACTTTTTTTTAATCACGATTTTAGTGTAGGTCGTTCAAACGTTTGCAAATGTCTAAAAGATTTGTCAATATCCTTAATCACCATGAGTGGTCATTTAAAGGTAATTTTTTTGTACGTACAATAGATATAGAAGTACTCAAAATGTGATTTATAAATATTCAAACTATTTAAATGATAAACATTTATTAGCCTATCATCATTTAACCGCATAGTGAGGTGATATTAGAATGTGGTTCACAATACGTTGCATGTGTTTTTTGACTTATAAAGCAAATAAAGTATTTTATTTAAGAAGAATCTTAAATTATTTAATCAAAATGTGTGAGTGTAAAAATTTCTTAGAAAAAAAATCTACAAAATGTGTGAATTTCTTGGAATTCAAACTGACCATTGTTTCTTTTTAATTATTGAATCAAAAACGTAGGAACCAGTTCATCTCATAATTATTTCACTTGTGAACTAATGGAACAAAGACTAATGATCGAACGATTGTTTGGCAGTACGTGAAATCAGATCAGTTGTATAATTGTTGCTATAATTAAATATTACGCCTACACTTGTAATTAAATCCAGATTATTTTAGATATGTTTGCATAATAAACAAAATTTATCATCACACTCGTATCTACATTATAGTGAAATACTTAATTTATTGGAACCTGTTTCAACTTGTTCGTCAATAAATTAGTTACAGCGTATGAAAATTGTATTTTATTTTGATAATTTTTAAAATAAAAATAAAAAATCAAACTGCGAGCTTTAAGGTGAAAACATTCACTATATAAGTACACTAGTTAACCTTCATACAATTTTTTAATTCTCATAAAAGACAATTTGTTTCCATTACGTCACTTAAAATTGTTATAGCACGATAACGCATTGACCTTGGTGTCTGAGAGACTTGAATGATGGGCACGATCGTATGAACTTACTGAATACTGTCGCACAACCGCTAATAGAACCACAAAAGTTAAATTATTTTTTTTGTTCTAATCTGTTTAGCTGTCAGATATCATAGAACAATGAGAATAAACAACTCACAAAACGTACGTTGAGTGATGGGAATGTAGAAAGTGTTGATTGGATAAACATTTATTACTTTCAAGTTTTAAGTTGCAATTCTATTTTGCTTGTAATTTTAAGTTTTCATTATTTTAGATAATTATTGACAAGCTAAATATCATTGTAGTACGAAGAATGGAACATGGTAGAAAGTGACCGCTTCGTTTTTGGTCATATTCCGCCCACAACTTAATCACGTATCGTTATCGCTGGTGAATATTGTGTATCAAGTGCCTCTCCTAGAATCACAACTAAACACTTGACAGTGTAGGTAGAAACTTGTTTTCGTATTCCAGTAAGACACTAATATTTATATACCAGATATGACCTAACTGCTGTATAATACCGTTATATTGTAGGCTGGAATAAGATCAAAAAATTAATATACAATGTTGATAATATGTATAGTAATGAGTGATACGTTAGACTACTTAGAGGAATACAAATGTCCAACCAGCAAATCTATAATTTCCCTTTAAATTTTGTGCGTTTGAACTAGTCATTACACACCTAGATGACTATGAATTATCATCAAACATTGCTAAGATAACATTAAAAATAAATAAACAGCTATAATATATGTATTAAAATCTATTTATTTCGCCTGTAAAACTATTAATTGATTTTCATAGTAAGATAAATAAGATTTTATAAATTACTAAAATTATAGATTTAGGGGTCGGTCTGGCCTAGTGGGTAGAAACGTATGTTTTGGCGTGCAAGGTCCCGAGTTCGATCCCCAGGGTACCAACGAGAATTTTCTTGTGATTTTCTCATTTAAGTTGTCTGGTCTCTGGTGTAAACCAGCCACAATACTTGTCCTGTCTATCATTGGCTTAACCAAGTCATCTTTGACTCCCTAACATGTGAAAGAGGGGGCCATCTCCTTCTGTAGTATGTTAAATTCGGGAAATAGAAGGATGTAACACTGATAAAAAAAAACTAAGGTTATAGATTTGTAGTATATTATGGAAAAAATGATAAATTATGTATTTTATATAATTTAAAAAGTCTACAAGTTAGAGTAATATTTTTAGTTCTGTCATACACTTACTCTTGGAGGTGTTAAACTCCACTATGTGTGTCTACACGTAAGAATAAAACTCTTACATAACCAATAAATAGGTTTAAATATTAAACTGCTGATCGTACATTTTGTTTGTTTGGATATAATAATAACCTCTGACCTTTCTTGTTTGGATTGTGATTTTGATGCATGACAATTAATACAGTTAATGACCTTGTACATTAAGGACTTTTCTATAAGTATAAAATATAGTGAACGCGTTGTAGTCGTTGCTGTTATAGTCTTTTAATAAAAATATTTATAGCTCACGGTCATCGGCTGTTCATAATTAGATTTTGTGTTTTACTTGTATGTTCAAAAAATAATTCTAAGTCTTATCACAGACTATCTCATTTAAT